CTAAAATTAATACCTATAGGCTAGCATTGCCTAATGTAACCATGTAATGTAAGAGGACCTGAATTCAAATCCCGGGGTTAACATGCACTTTCGAATCACTTTCTTGTTTAAAAATAAAAGTCTATCAGTGAAACAGACATACAAATGTCTACGCATGCCCTCTTTCGTGGTAGTTTTTTATTGTATATGCATAATGTATTTTTTAATTTTTTTCTTACTTTATTTTATAGGGATTTATTTAGTTTTTAACTTAAACCTTATGTAGCTTATAAACAACGTCTCCTATTTTATATATATATACCTAACTATTCAACATAGAAATAAAAACATTAAGTAAAGGCGCTATTGCTACAATACTTTTATATAAGTACTATAACTGTGTTTAATATATAACATGATTTATTAGAACATATGTGTCAATGTTATGATCTACATACATATAATGTGTTGCCGTTCTATCAACGGCCCATCAGGCCAATCCGTCTTTTATCACGCGAGCCCAGTGCCCTCAATTCCTCAACGTCAGCTGTTGATAGACACAGTGACACCTGCGGATGTCTTTCACTAATAACTAGGCTATTTTAATTGAGTGATTGTGGTTCTAATACGTTTTTTTATCGATACCTTGATAGTGAGTTAGCGTGAATCTCAGGTTGTTAAGTTTGTTTGCTACTTTTATTGTTAAGTCGCATAACCAAAGCTTTTCAAAATATTAAATGATTTTGAAATTTGAAACCTTTAAATAAAACACTTTAACAGTTTAAAACGCGATATATATCAGTTAAACTCGACTGAAAATTATTTTAACTACGGCGACGTGCTTTGCATCAGCCGTGGTCACTAGAATCTTCAATTAAAAAATATATTTCAGATAGAAAACATTTTTACGACACGAGCGGTACTTGAAACGGCATTCACAGCGTTCCGTGCTGTTGCTCTGACCAATTGAGTTACCGTGTCCTACGCGTCATCGTTGATTCAACATTGATTCATCTCACGCGCATAATTAAAATTTTGATTAATGTAATATTAATCAAAGTTTTAAGAACTAGATTATCATTTTATATCATCAATTCCTGTCTTATCATTACTGCGAGAGAGAGCTGCGTTTGGATCTCTGTGAAATATTATAGTTTCGAGCTTGGCGCAGTCTGATCAACCATATTCTTACAATTAAACACACATAGTGTCTCTGCCTAAGACAGGAAAAACGTACTGTAATTTTTATGTATAACTTATATGTATAAATTGATTATGCCTCAAAAAAGTTGTTTTTTCTACGACGATTTTATTTGCTCACTGTACAGAGGTAGTTACTTTATGAACGACTAGTGCAAACCGCTATCGTTTTAGATTTATTCAGTTTCATATACGTACTGGCTGACAGAACAAATAATTGGTAATAATGCATTTATTTCGACCAAATGTCTTCACTATAAAACGGTTCTAGCGAGTTAATGTTAAAAGACAATTTATAGATGATTTAAGAGGAATCATTCTTACAAACAGATTATTTCGGTTCTTGAACCTATATCGCACGCAGTGGCGTAACTATACCGTTGGAGGCCCGTGGCAAATTCATCGAATGGGCCCTCCCACTTCCCCAATATATAAAGAAGCTGAACCAACAATTGTCATTTCCTCTGACCGGAGGCCCCGTCGGGCTGGGGGCCCGTGGCATTTTGCCGACTCGCCACCCTATAGTTTCGCCACTGATCGCACGCAACCCGAAGATGAATAATTTTCCCTGTTTGTTCCACATTTTTTCACTCCTATTAGTCACGGCGTGATGTCATATATATAGCCTTGTGTTACTGATGGTGTGAATGCATAGTGCACGTCCACCTCAAAGCTTTCCTTGATGATAAATGGTATAACCAACACAATAAAAAAAAAACTTTTCGAACCAGTAGTTGCTGAGATTTGCGCGTTTCAACAAACAAACGAACTTTTACTAAACTTCGGTTACAAAACTTTACTAGTATAGACCCAAAAAAAAATCTGTTTCTGCTAAATTTTTTTGCTTACGGTACACAGGTAATTGACAGGTAACAGGTACTGTATTAAAGACTTTAAGATTCAGTTTCTCATTATATGTATTTAATGATCTGAACGATAGTCTCGTTTGTTAATATTTATTTACTACTTCAATTCCTGCTGTATATTGTTTAATGATCTGTGATGAAGGCATCTTGAGATGGTGCACTATGCGAGCTATAAAATAAGCGTAAGCTATAATTTTAGATCATGTTTGTATGTACACGTGTGTATTTATGCCCTACCAGCAGTAAGTAGCCCGATATTAAAATAAGAATTACGGATCTAAATTTTCACGACACTAAAGTAAAAAAAAACTCAATTTATATGCACATAATATAGATAGAAGTATGTATATATATAAATTATGTATAATACTTTGCATCAACAATAATGTAAAAAGTATTTATTTGATAGTTTCTATTCTTTTAAGTAACGATAGAGGACATTTTATTTTCTTGACATGCGCCCACGCATATATCTAGTAGTGGAAAACGAAGTTTCATGAAATTATTCAGTTTCGGTACGTAGGAATGATCTTGTGAAAGTCAGGGTTGAGATGTTTTGGGTGGTCTATATTACGTTAAGATGGAATGTAGCAAAATTGCCATAACTTTTATAAGGGAGTTTTACGAGTTTTATTTTGTCTTTGAGATAGGAAACCTTTATATAGGATACTAAGCTTGGTTAATTTATTACATAGCTTTTACTGTACTTGTTTTTCACCAGAAACGAATGTTATGAGTTGTATTTCATATAATATAGAAGTGAGTTACTCTGTTTGTATATTTAATAATACAGTTATAAAAACTTGTAGAAGTAACAACAAAGCATCTTTTAAAGATAAGCTGTATGTTATTTTAATTAAAACTTTTTAAACAGTAAAAAACGTGGATTATATCAAATTAAATATATTGTATAATTTTAGATATGTTGTAATATATATTACAGGGTTCGCCCGTCACGCTGTAATACCAAACTTAGGCCATAGTTAAGAATACATTAACTCACAGTTTAATTCTTTCATATTATTTAATTCATAATAAGAATTGACGCGAAATAAAGTAACTCGGGTGGGTAGACAGAGAATTGAGAAAAACTTTTCACGAGAGTATACTTTATAATGTAAATAGATCGGGTGCAATAATCACGCTTGGCGTCGAACCGTGTTATTATAAACACACGCTTGGAACCGCGCCGAGGACTGCACGTGACACGACTCTTCACGTTTCATGATAGCTTAGTACTTTATAAGTGATATACTGATTTAAAAAGGTTTTTTAAATAGATGTTACATAATATGTATATGGGTCCATTTAGTCATAGATGGGGTTGTGATATATTATATCACAACCCCATCTATGACTAAATGGGCTAACGGATTGCCGAGCAATGCGTAACGAAAAGGTCCTAAGCTCAAATCCCGGAGAAAAACTTCGAGCGGGCGTGAAGAAGTCTGATCAGATCTTGCCTTAAAATAAAAAACATAAACGGACTGTAGGTACACTGCCTGACTACTGTACCATGTGAAATATGTTCGTGTACACACTCGTGGGTGTTAACAAATGATATAAATTTCAAGTCGCAAACAAAACCACATTTTACATTAATTGTACACATATATTTCCATTAAATTAATTATCTAATTATAGTTAAAAGACGATACTTTCACATAGTGCACATAAAATAGATATAGATATTTAAGTATATGAGAAGTTTAGCTATATATATCGCGAATCTTAATAATTTTAACCGTCTATCTAAAATTAAATATGGGTGCATTTTTTGTACATTGCGTTCCACTCACGTGTCGTCTACCTAACCCAATTGTCAAAAATGATATCTTTTTTATTTAATTTGACAGGTATTTTTAATGACGATGCGTACAATTTTAAATTATTGTTTATTATTACTTTTATAAAATAGGTAGGCCCAGGATACGTGTCACCGCCTCTAAAGCCAAATGGTTAAACATATTGTCTAGCATTGTGTAAGCGCAGAGGTCCTTGGTTCAAATCCCAATGAAACAAAAAAAATTGTTTCGATCAGGCAGGGCACAGAAGTCTGATCAACTACTTGCCTGTTAAAGAACGGATCAATGAAACGGACTCAGAAATGTGTTCGCCCCATGCCCCACGTGGGGGAAGCGGGATTTTACACAGGATACGTGTCATAAGCGAAAGCCCTTCTTGCCCCACATACATACAGGATACTAGTAGAGTTCTGGCTTAAAATGTTAGTTACAGCTAGTGTAAGACAACTTGCAGATTTTCTAAACATTAATACAACGATTATTGAAGTAGGTATATTTATAAACACTAGGCGCGGCGGAGGTGTGACGTCTGACGTCAATACAGCACAAACATAACATGTGATAAAATTAGTGTGTGATTAAGGAGCCAAGGTTTCTTTTATTACTAGCTATCAATATATTTTCCCCAACGATTTTCTTTGGTTTGTAAGATTATTATTTTCTTCTATAATGGGACACTGATAGAAGGTCAGGTGATAAGTCCACATTATCTGGACATTGGGTTATTCAAATCTGACTGTGTGTTTTATTCTAGAGGAGGATAGACAAGCTTGGGGTCATTTAATGTTGACCTATTTTGGCTCTGGGTAGTCGCAAATGCACAGACTGTAACCGAAACGCGACTAACTTTATTTTATATACAAAACAATCGTTACTAAATAATGAATTAAACAGCTTTTTAAACCGTTAAAATATTCCATTTGAATTTACATTACTCGAAGTCGTCGGCCTGTGAAGTAACTAAATAAAGTACATATAAAACGATTTCCGTATGTTTGCTTAATATTGCGATATAAGTGTTGTGTGAAATTCTGCTTCCCTGTTTTGGGCATAGGCTGTTGCAGACATAGCTGTTCCTGTTCCACTGATTGCTTTAATCTGCAGGAGAGTACTTGATTGATTGTTACATTTACATTTTGTATTGTTACAGATGCGAGCAAGCGCAGCAACTTGGTGCGCATGCGTCGATCGGCGCTCGGGAAGTCGGCACCGACTCTCTCCGTCCACGTGGTTAGTTATTTATTAATCTAAGAATAATTATGCTGTTATATACTGTTGGGGCAAAAAGGTTCCAAGTGGAGTTCTAAGACCACATACCGGATATCGAAAACCTGAAACGCGAACGACCGATCGTACTCGACACTTTGGGGGAGGCCCTTTGTCCAGCCGTGGACTCCGAACGGTTGATACAAATATAATGTTATCTAGAAATTATTTAACAAGCGTATTACCGCTGTCAGTCTATTTCTTATGACAGTAAAGTAAGAAATACCCCAGCCATATAATATCTAGGACAAGATGAGCTGTCAAGCTATTTATGCTTTGGATATTCGGAAATCCATAAACTGAAAACGAAACGAACTTTTTTTAATCTGTAGACCGTGTGGTGTCTAGTGGTTCGTGATCGTTCGTGAATTTAGATATCCTACCACGTGTCTCTGAAAATTTTAAACTGATTAGAACCATTCTAGACCCGCTAGGGATCGAACCCACGACGAGTGGATTAATAGCTCCAAATTGCCATCATTATTCCAACGAATCCGTCAATACTCGTTTGACTAATAAGGTTTGTAACTGTTTCCCGCGGCTCAAACTCGGGACCTCTTGCGTAATGAAAGGAATACAAACAAATGAGCCGCGGTTTTAATAACTGGAAAGGGCGGGATGTAAAGTGCAGGAGGGACGCGTCTATCATAAAACGAGAAAGATTGCAGATCGATACTTTCATCTGAGAGTAATTACGAAGGCGCCTCTGTTTCTTTTTTCTGTAGTCTATGCTGTTTACAATTAATATCAAGCCATAGAATATGATTAACGCAATATATATTACTAAATGAATTTTATACGATGACCTGACATTTCGGAAAATCCGAGTTTAAGAATACAAAAAAAAATTGATTGTAATTTTGTATGACTCGTTTAAACTACACACAATATTTCAATAAAACACTAAAGGTTTAAAACGCGATATGTTTCAGTTAAACTTGTTTGAAAATTATTTTCAACTACGGCCCGACGTTTCGGATGCTTTGTAGCAGCCGTGGTCACGGGGACACGTACTACACGCGTAAACCACATACAATATTTGATACAGTGAAAACTTTTTGTAAAGATAAACTCGCTATAACATAGAAATATTCACAATTTAAATAACCAATTGAGCTACCGTGTCCTGGTATCGTGTCGATTTGTTAAAGCACGTAACGCTCTGGAAGCCGATTCAAGTCTCGCTCGTGTCGTTATTTTTTTTTCCAAATTTGCCATCAAAGTTTTCGAATTTGGTTGGGTTGATTTGCCTCCAACCCCACTTTGTCATACACACCCATACATTGGTGGCACCAGTTTTGTTGTAAAATGTTTACGATGTTTATCGAGTCATATTATCTAAACTTTATAAAACTGAAGAATTTGTTTGTTTGAACGCGCTAATCTTATCAAGTACTGGTTAGCATTCGAAAAAAAAAGTTTTTTTTTTTTAAATAGGCTATTAAACATCGCGCTGTGGCTAAAAGAAGCTAAGAAGCCTCGGAAAAAGCTGGAAAAATTATTCAACTTTATGGGTTTTCGCTGCGACAATTGTTCAAGAAGTTCAAAAAATATGTATCAAAGAACGATTCTTATTTAAGCGATCTAAAATTAAACATTATATGTCTATCTTTTAATATTAACTTGCAAGAACGACGGGACGCGGCCGATTTCATGCTTAACAGCTTATATTTATAAAGATGAAGAGGAGGTTTGCAAAAACAAATTTGGATGCCAAAAATAACTGCGCGAACGAAGTCGCTGACACAGCTAGTACAATATATTATGTATCTTATAATTCGGCGCCTTACACTCCCATTTCCTAAATCACCACGGCTGTTCTTGCGTGACAGAATTACAAATGTACAATCTGTTCTCACCGTTTCGTACTTCGAAACGGCTTATTCTAAATTATAATTCAGGGGAGAGAAGTGTGTTACTACAGACAGCAACGTTATAAAAGTCACTACAAAGTCTATTTTTATAAATAATGGATAGTTATGATAAAAAAATGTTCTGTATCTTCGTGGGCTGGAGGTAATCAATTGTCCTAAAAGGTCGACAACACATCTTATTTGGAGGGGTATTTTCACCTTTAGTAGAGCCTGTGCCTGCTCGTAGTGAGGATTTTGTTTTAAAAATATCTAATAGTGATCCCTTTCACTCATAATAAGGATTAACGATTACAGAATTCGCGAAGGTTTAAATCTAAGCTAAACAGAGAAACTGAGTTTTATTTATTTCCGCAGAAGGAGCCATGTGCTGTTTCGAGGCGACCATCCCGGTTACCACCACCACCACCACACCACCGGCTCTCTCTTGTGGTAAGTGTCAGTTCGCGATAATATTCATTATAGTTTTACAAATCTATTTAGATTGAAAAAAAAAACGACACTGGTAGGACTTGCATCCACTGTGGCATCAACAGCGTTCCGTGCTGTTGCTAAAACCAATTGAACTACCGTATCCCACACGTCATTGTCGATATTTTTTGCCATACATCCTACATACCTCTCGTACAATGTAAATTCAACCTTAAGACTTACGCATTGAGGTTCGATGTCTTATTCTATACAGCTTAAGAAGTTATTGAAAATTAAATTGCGGAGTTTAACATATGATATAAATGAAAAGATTTAAGAAAATATCAATGTTTTCAAATGCACATAGCCTTTGTAACCTATTCGGCAGTCTAGTACAGTTCGCATTAAAGCGTTATTTTTATTTATTTAAATATCAAAACTATACGGTAATGTCTCCATTATTTTCTTTTGTTTTTAAACTACCCTCCAAAGCTACGTTATGGTGACTATAAGAATATAATTTGCATACTAAACTAAGGCCATTTGTTTGTTTTGTTACTTTAGAATCAGTTTCTTTTGTCCTAAAAACATTTAATTTAATGTTCTGACAATACGTACGCGCAATGACTAAACGAAATCCTTATTACGTTTGTTATTCATTTATTTACATAAACATAATGTATGTTATTTACAAGCTGAGCACGTTGTACGATGTTATCCAAATATATGATGATATTTTTGGAATAATGCGAGGACCTGTTCCACTTACCTTTATGAAATACTGGCTTATGCCTTGGTGTGCGATTTAGTGAGAATTGTGGACGAGTTTTGTCTCATTTAATTCGTTTGAATTCTATGTAAAGAAAAAGTTTTATAAAATAAAAAAATAAACTATAGTTTGTAAATAGAATTTTAAAAACTATTAAGGTTCGTCACAAAAAAGAAATGAAAAATGATTGTCTGTCTGTCTGTCGTGACAGAGTGTTGCAAAGAGCAACATACAAATACAATCTACCTATCAGTGTCTCTGAATTGTTCAAAAGGCAAAAATTAAAATTGTAATATTGTCCAATTTATTATTAAATTAAATGCAAGGTATATAATAAATTGTTGTCATAAAGCAAACAATTGACCTATTATATATCTTGCATTTAATTTAACAATCGAGATACTGAGGCGTAGCTTAATTGTTAAACGTTGCCTGGCATTCAGTTACGCACATGCGGCCCTGGGTTCGAATCCCGGGCGAGTAAGAAATTGTTGCGGTCAGACGGGGCACAGGAGTTTTATTAACTACTTGCTTATAAATAAAAATCGACCCGTGGAACGGACGCAGAAATGTGTTTGTCCCTTGCCCTGCGCAGGGCAACGGGATAATACAATGGAAAAAGACAGATAATGCTTTTTAAAATTAATAATGTAAGTATTTTACATATGAGATTTTCAACATATCATTGTTTTTGGGCTGAACCGAACGTCATGGCGAAACGTCGAGATTCTAGTCTCGCATACGTCGTTTTAAAATCGATTAATATTTTTAATATTTATATAAATATGTATAGCTTTCCCTTTTAAGGACTCACTGTAATAAGAAAAAATAACCTTTATATGAAAAAAAACTACTGTAAAACTATTAAATCCTTTACGAAATGAATAATTTTTCTATTTGTAAAGTGGGGTGTGGATACATAACTTGAAACAGGTTCCGCTCCTAGAGTCAACGTTTCCACTTAGTTCTAAGTGCTTAGAATATATCTGTGAGTTTATCTAGAAAAGAAGCTGTACTGTTTGCTTTTATTTCGTAATAAACTTTCTCTTCAAATAATGATACGATAGTTTCATATTTCCGAGAGAAAGAAATAATATGCCATTATGTCATGTATATTTGTGTTAATTATTTAAGTTTTAGTAAATAAAACTCGATAAATTGTAATGTTAAACATAGATACTAAATAAAGAATATATAATTAAGACTTAGGTTGTTGATAAGCAAAACAACAGCATTAAAAGTTTAATGTGTAGTTTATTACTATTAAATACATAGATTTTAGATTGTTTTGAAGCGTCAACAAGATATACGTCGCGGAAATTTGGATTATTCAAAAGATTATATTTTGATAAATATCATTTTGTGTTTCTCGCTACTATTGGTCACAGCCTGCTGTTGTATAGCCTTCATCGATAAAGGCTCCATCTAACACAACATATTAATATTCAATTTGAACCAGTATTTTCTGAGATTAGCACGTTCAAACAAACAATCTTTAAAATATCTAGTATTAATTAGACGAGGGGAGACGGCAAACGTTCCAATATTTTTAAACGACGGTAGTAGTAAAATTTGAATTACGAACAAATGTCTTCCTTTGCACGTTCGAATTTTAAAGCGCATTTGAACTTAGACACTGTCGATATTACATAAAATACGATCGATAGGTTAATTGATATTCAAACATAAAGTAGTTTAAGGCTAGTTGCGCCAATCGTAGACTGACTCACGATGCGGACGGTGTCAAGAACCGCATCAAGGCGAGCTAAGCAAAAACTCCTTTATCTACGCCTGTTAATAGGACGTTCTGATTATGCGGGGTTAAATGCTTAATATTCATAAAACGTGGTCTACACATGTATCATAAAGAGGGCTGAGTTATGCGAAATTTAAGGATCGTTACTATGTACCGACAATAAGGATGAGCTAATACATAAATATAGGAGAGTCTAAAAAAAGGCTCCGTCGGGCCGTACTTAGTTCTTACTTCCAAATTAGTTTAACTAATATATATCGCGTTTTAAACCGTTAAAGTATTTTATTTAAATATGTACTACCCTCGTAAACTACAGACGGTAAATAAGAAAGTCTGTTCAGTGTAAAAATCGATGATACTAGCAGAACTTGAAATTTATATACTATCATGTGTAGTGTTCTTATTGTTAAGCAATGTGGCAAAAATTATTGTCGCCAGTTAAAGTCGCCAACAAAAGTTTAAGCGTGATATGGACAGACAAGAGAACCTATATCGTTGATAGATGCGCGATATCTCAGACGCGCTCCTTGGTCTCACGGTTGCTTATAACCAACGAGTCGTGATTTCGATTTTCACCGGGTTCATAATTGTAAATAATTTTTTGATTTGATAAGAATTTATAAGTAAATTTCGACCGCCCGATGGCGTTAAGTGGGTAGCCAGTGGATAGGTAAATAGCGCATTTGAATTTAATGTTATATGACTAAATCTTTTACTTTTACCAATACTTGAATATATGTGTGACATCCCGTTTCACCTTCATGGGGCATGGGGCGAACACATTTCTGTGTACGTTTCACTGATCCGTTCTTTAACAGGCAAGTAGTTGATTAGACTTCTGTGCCCTGCCCGACCGAAACATTTTTTGTATCCATGGGATGCATATATGAATAATTCATTTAATATCTCCAATAATTACAATAATGCATTCGTTTTTATCAGAATTTATAAATAAACGAATAGATAGCTACAAATGAACTGATAATTAGTATTTCTCATTCGTGCGTACTTATTTGCATGAATTAGAAATGAATATCTATTATGAAGAATTCACGTATTTTTTGCATTATGCTAGAAATATATGAACGTAAATAGTAGGGTGGTTTTTAGCGTTAATCGAAATTTGAAAAGACAAAAATTAGGTCTTATCAATAATTTTAATGTTTTTATGTGTTGGACATAACACGGTATTGTTCGTTTACAATATTTATACAGTTTGTGATTAAGATTAAATTGTTGGTTATTTTATGATATAAACCTAGAAAAATTTATAACGTAATTAGATTAAAACCTTATATAGATTCTTAAATACTATCTGTAGTTTACGCGAGTAGCACATTATTTTAAAATAATTTTCAAAGATTAATTAATATATATATCGCGTTTTAAAGCGTCAAGGTGTTTTATACAATGAATATAGATTCTTTCTATCTATTTTGTTAAGCTTTGATAACATTACGCAGGCAATATTCAACTTATTTATTTATTTACAAATATTAACTGTTATAATAATTTTAATGCGACAGTGACTTATACTTACTATAGCTACAAATCTAGCAACCTAGCAAAATATATACGTTACTTTAAAAAAAAAATGTATTTTAAATAAAACTAATAATTTATCTAAACTAACTTAACGCATTCACAATCATTCATATAACCAAAATGCAGCTTTAAACAGTTACTATAACACAAAATAAACATTAATATGTTTTACATGTAGCACATGATGGTACCTACTATATAGATTTGATTCGTAAAAATTTTCGACTCTGGCAGGACTTGAACTGGCATCGTCAGCGTCTCCTCACTCATCAAGTCACCTCATCGTCAAATTTTTTCAACTTATTGATACATACCTCTAGCGCTATGTAATTTTAAACTTTAGTACTTGCGTCATATTCAATCATTTATATAAACATAAGAATTTCAATGCGAAATTCTAGAATTATTTTAACTAGGAATATTAACAGATATTTCTTCTTACGATAGGTAATAGATATTCTAATAACTTCTTAGCATGAGGCTAAGGAGAGGATGCAAGTGAAAACCCATTCGACAAGTATTCTATCGCGTGTTGGATATGGTTTTATATTGCTTTGCTGGGAAGCTGTTCAGCCAGTTTTAGGTCAAAATAATGTTTGCGAAAGTGTATCGCGGAAAAACGTGCGGATTGTCTCAGACACTAACGAGTGAACGTTACGAACGACACATAAGAGAATTGAAATGTGTGTCAAGATTATTATTTTTGATGATTTAATATTTTGTCTCCATGCGGTAATAATGGGTATTAATATTAAAAATAAAAACATAAAAACAAGGATACAGTTTTAAAAGGTTTTGTGCTTATTTTAGAAATTTGTATTTTCTATGCTTCAATTTATTTTATTTTCCGACGTTCGTACAAAATATAAATTAATTTAGTATTTATTTTGTACGGTCTGTAGTTAACGCGAGTGGTACACATTTAAATAAAACAATTTAACGGTTTTAAACGCGATGTATATTAGTTAAAATTATTTTTAACTATGGCCCGAAGTTTTTGATGCTTTGCAGCAGCCGACTGTGTGACTGTTCTCCGTGACCGACGACTATATATCGCGTTTTATATTATAAAATTTATTTTCAATTCAATTCTAGTTCTGCCCGAGTCTTAATTTTTGTTATAATCAATTATTAATTCATATTTCTCGTTATTACATAAGGTATACCCTCTGGTAACATAGCTTATGATGTTTTAATAAAATATAATGTTGATGTCTAGGTGGGTTCGGGGAGATGCAGTTCGCCCGGCACGGGGCCCCTGTCGCCAGCAGAGGGGCCCCGTTGGCACGCTCATCACGCCCATCCGTTGCATCATGCTTTGCTGTCTTCTAGCGTCAAACGGGGGAAGGATCTGTAAGTACTTCTAAATAGATAAAAATAATTACGATAATCCTTGCTCATAACTGATTGTTCACGATATGCTTTTTTAGGACCACAAGTGTCGTAGGAAAATTCGTTCGAAGTAGTTTTATTTAATTTAAGAACATAGTAAACTAAATATCGGTATTTATTTTACTGTTTTCTTAGAGTTAATCGTCCTTTGTGCCGATTTTCCATTTGTCATTTATTCAAAAACGCAACGCTTAGGTACATTTATATTTCAATCTTTTGTATAACCTCTGCTTTTGAATAAAAAAAATTAATAGCTGATAAGATTCAAAGAGAAGAATAAACTAGAATAACTGGCTTTTCTTCATCTGTACTGATATTATAAGGCTGACGAATTTGTTTTATTCGCAAGGAAAATTTTATTTCGTGTTAGACCATTTATCAAGAAGGATCGGTATAAAATATGTATATTAATTAGTACGTAAAAGTAGGGGAAAAAACAGGGGGAAATTGGGACAAAAAGGGGAAAATTATTCGTCTGAGAGTTTCCGTTGCGTACGCCACGAAAACGGCACAAGAAACCAAACTTTTTTAAAAAATTGAATAAAAACAAAAATATATCTATATTTTAAGATTAAACTGCAAAAACGACTGACGACGGACGAGATCGAGCAAAAATTATAATTCATAAACTTGAGGAGGAGGTTTACAGAAACAACTTTTAAAGCCAAAACTAATTTTTCCACGCGGACGAAGTCGCAGGCACAGCTAGCGGATTATATAGAGAAACTATCACATAATATCGTACTATATTTAGGCGGGAAACGCGATCTAGTATCTAAAATTAGCGCTGCATTCCTGCATCGAGAGACATCGTAAAAAAACGCAAGATTCCGAAACGTGCGTTTTTAATGGCACCAGCTATTTTCTTTGGAGGTGTATTCCTGGTGATAGGAATGCGCGCGCGTCGCCAACTTGTTTGATCAATCGAATACTTTCCTTTTGCATGTCTGTTGCTATTAGGAGTAAGGATATGTGAGTATATACGATATCTTAAGACCTAGTACATACTTGATTCAACGGTTTAAAACGCGAAAACTTTTAGTTAAACTTATTTAGAAATTAACCTCATTGGTTTCCTCGCGATCGCCCTGCTGCAAAGCAAAAACGTCGGGCCGTAGTTTATATTAATTTGAAAACGAGTCTAACTAATATAATTTGCGTTTTAAACCGTTAAAGTGTTTTATTTAAATATATACCGGTCGCGTAAAACTAAAGACAGAATTTGATTAGAGCTTCAGTTTTTAAATTTATACCCGTTTCCCCATGGGGCGCATCAAAACTTAGTTATTTCCAATATTGTCAAACTTAGTTATTTCAAATTATTGTCGTTTAATTAAAGAACGAGTGATATAACGCGTGACACTTTTTTTTAAACTGCTGCTTGCTGCAACTGTTGAGGTTAGGTACTTTTTAATAGGTCATAAACACAAAAGATAAAGTAGAGAGTGCACCGTATATTGTTTAGGTACCAGGATCGCTTAAGATCTTTTAACATTATTTTATCATTATCATTACATCTTTGTATAGCCATGTCATGACATGCCATGCCATGAATGCAACATTTGACGCATCCTCTAGTGTTGGTATATTATTATATTTATTGCCTATAGTCTATGAACAGTATACATTAAAATAAAACACGTTCAACGGTTTAAAACAGTGCTTCTTTCTAAGCATCAAAGCAAAACGCCGGACCGTAAATAAAAAAAGTGTTAATCAGTTAATTAATAATATTCGCGTTTTAAACCTTTAATAGTGTTTTATTTAAATGCGTACTACTCTCGTAAACTACACACAGTACGTATGTAGACATTATCTAGTAGAAAATAAAAAAAAGAAGTAGTTTCGTTTTGGTCGAAATAAAGATTGTATTTTCAATTTTCAGAGATGGCAGACGATGGTCCGTTGCTTCTCTGCCCTCGTCCGGTTATGGCACTACACCGGGGAGTTCGAGCCTTTCGGTAAGCGGCTTTTGTTTCCATTAATTATTAATAATATTTATAATTTTTGTATTGTAATTGCTATTGTGTTGTGAGAACCCTATTCCTCCATGGCGTGGAGACACATTTCTGTATCTGTTTTACTGAGCGATTTTATGAGTCCTGCTGATGTAGTTATTAGTTGATTTATGTGCACATCTTATTGCCTACAAGATCTAATTACGATTACTTGATGGTATAATTTTTTAGTAGCCCCTGGCCAACACTCGGTAGGTACGAGTCCCGTGTCATATTTATTTCTAATCTCAAGTGACTTTTATGTAACTTTCGACGGGCTGTTTTGACCGTTGGTGCAACGGTAGCAATCAACGGGCCACGGTTTCGACACTCACCGACTCAAATATATTTCCAATCAATTTACAATTTTTCTGAAACATGTCGGACTTCGTCTGAAAATCTGGATATTAAATGGGTGGTGGGAATATCGAAATTCCGTCCGGGTCACGAACCACTGCCAACAGATGAAAAAGCCGTGAAGTATAATCACGTTTCGCTTTCAGTCTGTGGATTGCCGAATATCCAAAGTTATTGCCTAGTAAAGTATATTAAATAATGTATTAAATGCTATAGGCGGGGTATTTCATGAACTTTATGCTTATCTGTCAATTCTCTATAATTTAAAAAAGCTTTTGTGAGCATATTTCAACAAGGTCGTCGTCCATTGCTATTCTCTTATTGCACACTCACCAATTAAATCACAAATGTTTGTTTTTTAACAGTCACTTTGCAGGTAAAATTTACAAATTTCACTTTCATTTGTTACGACGGGAATTAATTAATTTAATTTTATTATTTAATGTTACGTCAACTAATTAAAGAGTTTTCAGGAATAGTTTATTGTCTATGTTTGTAGGGCAATTATTTGTTTTAAATTGTTTTACGCTCGTCAAACAATTTAATTAGTTTTCTTTTAATTTTTTTATAGCATCGTGATAGCTAAATATAACAATTTTTTAACTGTTTAAAACGCGAAGTATACTAGATATTTTTTTACTTTTAACTGCAACCTGACGTTACTAGTCGTTGTTGTATAGTCTGATGCATTATGTTGGGTCGCAGTTAAGAATTGATTAATTTTTATATATCGCGTTTGAAACCGTTTTATTTCTTGTGTACTATTCGCGTAAATACCAAGCAAGTCTTTAATCAATGATAGTAATAGTTCGCATGCCACCTAAATAAACATACAGTATATATGAAATGACCTTCCACAATATTAAAACCTGTAATAAATGCATGTTATGATTCACAAGTAACAGATAATCATAAGTGAATTATTGTCTATGACCTAAACGATAAGCGATGTTATCTATGTTTAATCGTAAATGCATTAGTGTCTTGAGCAGGAAAATCTACCGGACTTATTATCTCATAGTGTGTCATTTTATACCTACTGTATGAAAAGAAAGTTTGGTTTTTTGTTAATAAAGCAATAGGGACCGTTTGTATGTATGTATGTATAATACATTTAATAAAATAATTATAAACTGAGTTTGTTCAATTAAGGAAGAGTCATCATAAAAACAAAAAATTGTTATTTGAGATAAATATTTTAAAGATAAAGATCGTTATGTGCTATTTCAGGATTCCTTTTTACAAAGAACTCTCGATCTGTCTCTCTGTCAAAATACTATATCTACAGACCGCGATGTGTGCGCTACACAAGACAGTAGGTTTTTCATAAATTATGTATCCCCAGCCCCAGCCCAGAATCTCGCTTCCTTCAAGAATCTTGTCAAGTCCCACTATTTATGCCTAATTAACTAACTTAGTTAAGATAGTAATTTATGATTTTTAGGTTAAGCTCGTTTTGTATTATTGTTTATTATTAGTTTTAGTATGTAGGTTAAGTCTTTTCTCTACTGCCACGTAATCCTTTTTATTACTGAATTATCATTTCTATCACGGTTGCTTAGAAGAGATAGTTATTTAGCTATAAAGTCGCCGTTTGCCCTTAATTTCCATCAACTTTTATATATATATTTTTTTGTTGTTTTGTTTTGTGACAATAAAGAATATTTGTATTTGTATGTATATCCGATGTACCGTTATAATATTTATTATAATGATCGCATATTTTTGTTAAAAATGTTCTCGACGGCAAAATTTGTGTACTTTTGAATACAGTAATACTTTTCACATGCACATGATGGCATGTGTGAAATCCCATTTCCCCCTCGTGGCCTCAGACTTTTGTGCCCGACGGAAGCAATTTTTTGTTTCCCTGGGATTCGATCCAGGATCTCTCGCGCTTAACTCAATACCAGGCAAAACGTTTAACCATTTGGCTACAGAGGCGGTCGTGATGGCATAATATACATTAAAATCGATTTTACATAGCTCAATTGGTTAGAGCAACAGCACGAAACGCGGTGGATGCCGGTTCCAGTCCCGACCGTATCGTAATTTTTTTTTTCAATCTCAAATCGATTCATTTGCTGCTGCCAATAGCTTACCTAGTCCAAATTACAGATTTTTTCGTGCGTAAGTCCGACTCGGTCTTGGCGTTTTCTCACTTCATCGTATAAAGATGGTGATGATGACTTCAGTTTTGCATTAAACAAGCTGCACTCTATTGATCTATGACGAATGGACATATAAAATTGAATATTTATGGAAAAGAGATTTGTGTTATTATTCAATATGGATTACTCATGTTGTGGCCATGAAAGACGTGATTTTTTGCATTGTTTATCGATGTTTTCAATCTATATTTAGAAAAAAACTTCCTATCGGTCTTTATATCAAAATTACATGAAAAACTGTAAAGTGCGGAGATCGTTTCGTTTAAACAAATCGATATTGTTATCTACTCTGTGTTTTGGTAAGATTGGAAATTGATATGATAAGGTAGGTGCTCGCAAATGCAGATATTGTAAATAAGGTTAAAACAATAATATTAAATAAATAAGTAAAGTAAAAAATTATATTGCATAGTAAGAAACATTCTATAAAACGCGGCCGCGGCGCGCATTTATTTCGGACGCCTTCGCCATTAGAATAATATTTTTATGCGTAATAGTTACAACATGAAAAATAATAAGTTTTAGGCTCAGTTTAAGTTCAATAATAAATTCTTTTAAATAAAACACTTTAACGGTTTAAAACGCGATATATTAGTTAAACTTATTTGAAAATGATTTTTAACTTCGGCCCGACGTTTCGGATGCTTTGCAGCAGCCGTGGTCACGGGGAGACTCTCACGGGTCTCCCCGTGAACACGGCTCAAGCTCAAATAAGTTTAACTAATATATCGCGTTTTAAACCGTTAAAGTGTTTTATTTAAATGTGTACTACTCGCGTAAACTATAGACAGTATTTAATAAATTCTTATAAAATTATTGGAAGAAATTTCGGGCCAAGGACTATCGTTGTCTTATACAAGCTTTGTCCAATTGTCTACCTTAGATTAAGTATATTTCGTTAATAGGATTATTTCTTAGAATAAATTCTCTTATCTTACGAAAGAACACCTAGTCTGTATACGATTGATGCATATGCGTTCATTATTCAGTCAGTCTTGGTTTATAGATATATTATCGATTTAATCGCTAACACTTAGCTGAAGCGAGTTATAAATAAATAATTTAGTGGCCCACCGCGGTGTTGCGTGTCACCGAGTTAATTGCTTCGGGAAGCTCTCACAATATGAATCATTTTCTCGGAAAAACAACCAGACAAGAGAGACTATCGTACTCTGTTGCGCAGCTGTATAATATTACAGTTTCGTCTTGCTCTTTAAGGATTTTTGCTTTATGTAGATAGGTTTCAAAGCGTGTCTTATAAAAGGTGAATGAATAGGGATTTTAAATACTTTTATCTCATTAAGCCTTGAGAGTTATAAAAGTAAAAATATTTCTTTCTCAAAGAGTTTTCTGTAAGTGTAGACTTATATACGTAGCTTTTGATTTTACATACGTTCTTCGTAAGGCTTGAAAACTTGTTGGCAAGGTATATAGTTTACGTGAGTCATACATTGTATAATGTTTAACAGATTTGAAACCCCAATATATTATTAATTTTTGAACTATGACCTGATGGTTCAGATGTATTGCATAATAGTTTGCAAACATTCACGTTTTAATCCCTTCCAAAATTTCTTCAAGTTATTGTCGAGTAAACCCAACGTAAAAGTTGGCAATAATATTCAGTGTTGGTTCAAAATCGTGAGTTCCCATTTTTTCTCTTTGGCCATATTTCTGAAGCGTGACTTACTGCTTAGAACGTTAAACAAGGAATAAACGATTTCGGTTTTTTGTGGCCTTCACCTCAATTATTGTAGATGGTTTTGTTAACAGTATACATTTTCTATAGTCTTCAGTATAGTAGTAATATTTTATCAATACAAGTAACTAAATACGTAACAACGAAGATTATTCACCCCTTAAAATGAAATCAGAATTTTATTGACGCCCTTAATATTTAAATTTTTAATCATCATCATTTATAATATTAATAAGGATTAACCTTTGATACTTAACTCGTATCAAAGATTAAAAGGGGGAGTAAAATTTGTGTGGAAATTCGTGGTTTTTGAAGTTAGAACAATGAAACTTTCCTCTTTGGCTTTTTGGGAATAGGAGTGGGTGTGGGTGTGGGAGTGAGAGTGGTAGTGGGACTTAGAGTAGGAGTGATGTTAGGTGAGAGTGTTGCGGTAAAGTAGCACTTACAACATAGATTGGCTGCGATAAATGCGCAATTACATAAATTAATAAACAGCCTAAATAATTAAAAATTCTACCCCAAGTCACTAATCCACGCGAACGAAGTCGCGGGCACGGCTAGTTATAAGATAAATATTGATTTATTTAGGTATTTATATATTTATTATTATGTGAGTTGGAGTAACCAACTACGAACTTTATAGGTTCTCTTTAGATTGTGTCTCAACAGTAACTCATATTTATTTTTCTGTTTCAAATGTTGCAGTCACAATGCTCTTCGCAAGAACGTCTGCTGGCTGTACAGGCGGCGTGCGAACCCCCGCCGCGCGCGCATTGCCCCCACTGCCACCAGCATCAGAATTCGCTCAAGTAAATATCGACCTTAATTCATTGTAATACAGCTCCTTTCCATTGGTCTATACTATTAAATTTATTGTGATTATTGAATAACTAGTTATTTTTCCTCCAACAGCAGTTCGCAAGGCAGCGGTATGAATTGGGCGTCTTTATCAGATAGCGGAGGCAGTGGCCCCGGCCCCCGCCCTGTCTCACCTCCGCATTCGCCGTCACCAAGAAATATACCGCGACGCGTGCGCAGTCGAAGTCTTAGGTAAGAATGGAAGATAATAAGGAGATGTGAAGAATCATACTTTATTGCATAACATAGAACATTAGACATGCTTCTTACAATATGCTTAAAACAGTTAAAGTATATACTATATAGTCATTAAACGAACGTAATGGGAATAAAAACTAAATATAATTAACAAAACTTACTAAAAATTTTATAATATAAAGTATTCATTAATTGAACTCAATTTTACATCTCTAAAAACTTTTAGAAGAACAAAATAGTATTAAAGATACCACCATTTTGTTTTTAGTTCGCCATCTCGTTCGCCTGGAGGTGGGAGCGTCGGGTCGGACGGGTCACGCGAAGATGCTGTTACCGCCATGTCAGCGTTATTCGCAGCCAGGTTTCCAGCCGCACAGCGTGCTATGAACGATAAGTGAGGAAATATTACTGTTAGAAGTAAACATTTTATTTTACCAGCCTGAATCCAACCTGTAGCCAAATGGTTAAACTAATAACGCCTAGCATTGCGCTAAGCGTGAGAGGTCTTGGGTTTGAATCGGGAAACAAAAAATTGTCTGGGTCAGGCGGGGCGCAGAAGTCTGATCAACTACTTGTCCCGTTAAATAACGGATCAGTGAAACGCATACAGAAATGTGTTCGCCCCATGTCCCACGACAACACACAAACTTGAATCTAACGCTAGATTATAGATATTACATATGTTATTCAAGTTTTAGCCCCCCCCCCCTCCATGTCAGCACTTCTAAAACAATCAATATGACTTTACCTTGTTCTTTTCCTATATAGGTTGCGATCTCTAATAGACGAACTTACAGAATTGGATAAGAAACCAGACAGGCCGCCTATCGAGAGATTCGTACAACGACAGGTACAATTATTCATATATGAAATCAATAGATTCCTGGATTCCGAGTATCAAGTAAATATTAATTATTTCTCACAGGTGTTGGAAATGGCCCGGGATTGTCTGCACAAGTCTGAATCGAAGCAAGTGACAAGTAGTTACTTCTATGATATGGCTGATAGCTTGGATCGACTTCTAGCTGAGGTATTTTGAAAGTACACAGAGTTAAGTCAGATTTATTATGGATCATTGAAAAGTGACAGAAATTAATTAATTTTATTCTCTCTCGTGCTTAACTTTTGAGTTATAGTATCTAACTAAATAATTAAATTAACACCACTTTCTTTCAAATTAATTTATAATTTTCCTGAAACATTTTGGTGTTAGTCTGGAAATTTGGATATTAAATTGGGGTAGGAATATCGAAATGCAGTCCGTGCCACAAACCGGTCACAGTGAAAAAGCCGTGAAGTTTAATCATGTCTAGGTTTCAGTCTGTATATTTCCGAATATCCAAAGCCACAATTGGTCAACAGCGCTAGGGGTATTTTATCCAATACCATCAATTGAACCGCATGCTTGTCTGTCCTCCTCAATAATAAAAAAAATATTTTAAAATAAAACTAAATTATAAAAACAGACTCGAGAGAAATCAGCCGAAGCGGGTGGCAGAGTGGCTCCTCTTGTGACGCGGCTTACGCTGGCGATGGCGCGTCCAGCGAGATTACTCGAATGCCTAGAGTTCGATCCCGAGCGGTTCTATAGACTGCTGGAAGTAGCCGAAGGACATGCGCGGCAATTACAGGTTTGGCATGAGTTATTCATCTAGTCCTTCGAGCCGGATATATGGAGGTAAAGCTTTATAAATCATATTTGTAATATCTTTTTATTTCAGGGTGTTTCAACAGACATCCCTCAGTATATAATTCACAAGTTGGGACTGTCTAAGGACCCGCTTGTAGAGTTATCTGTGCCGCCTCCCCCACCGCCACCACAAAATTCATCACCGTCCAAGTAAGTTACAATCTTATTTAATAAAACTTATCGGTTAAGCTTCCGAATTGTATCGTTACTGAAATATATGCATATTTACTATTAATAACATTCCTATGAACTACATTTTGTTATTGTATATTTTTCAAGGTTACGCGGACGTTCGTCTCCCCCAGGTGGGATCGGGGGCAGTGCCCCATCAGAGAACGACTATCAAGTGATAAAGCTGATCTCCAATGGAGCATATGGGGCTGTATATCTTGTCAAACACAAGCAAACCCGACAAAGGTAAATATTGCGTTTAATATTGTGGCATCTGTTTCTTTTCTGAAAAACAAAGCATCTTGATGAAACTGGCACCCTATAAAATGACAACATGTGTCTACAACACGTATTTAGTCGGCTAGATTGAGGCCTATATACCCTTTTAGGAGGCCCAAACCCAACAGTGGGACTTATTAATGGGTTGTTCAACCTAATTACAGGTATGCAATGAAAAAGATTAGCAAGAACAATTTAATACTACGGAACCAAGTGGAACAGGCGTTCGCCGAGCGTGATATATTAAGTTTTGCTGACAATCCATTTGTGGTAAGTTTTTTACCTTAATCGACTTATAAAAATACCAGCTTAGAAACTCACCGAAAAAAAACACCCGAGAAACGTCTTTTTGTCATATAAATTGTTTCCTTTATTAAACAAGTGAAAATAACACGTATCATTAAATATAACATAGATAAAGGCCTCTTCTAGGGCCTAACGAATGTATGCACAAGATCTCATTCAAATCGGTTTAGCCATTTTGTAGGATAGCGCGACTAAAGGCTCTGACACGAGAATTGTACTTATTACATAACACAAACCTATTAGAACGAACTAAAGATTAAAATTATTATTTGACTCTAAATTTCTTTGAATTAATGTTGTCCAACCAAATAGGCTGTAGAGAGAAGTCTGTGGGTTTGAATTCAGCTCGTGTCATATGTTTTTTAAAGGGATTCTGAAAACTAATTTCATTTTATATTAGTCAATACAATTTTCAAATAAGTTTAACTAATATAAATCGCGTTTTAAATCGTTAAAGTGCTTTATTTAATTATATTTCTTCCCTTCAAGGTGACAATGTATTGCTCGTTCGAGACAAAACGTCATCTCTGCCTCATACTCGAATTCGTGGAGGGCGGAGACTGCGCCACGCTGCTGAGGGCTGGACCACTACCCCCTGACATGGCGAGGCACTACTTCGCGGAAGCGGTGCTGGCCGTGGAATATCTACACTCATATGGGATCGTGCACAGAGACCTTAAACCCGATAAGTGAGTTCTAGAACATTATAAACTGTTAAAAAATATTTATTTCATAATTACCAAAAAATATCCACGATCTCTAATATAAGTATTTAATAATTGAAGAACATTAAAATAGAAGAATTTACATACAAACTCTATTGAATATCTATACTTCTTTCATAATACAAATATATAAAGCTTATTTGTTTGTATGTTTGAACGCGCTAATCTCAGGAACTACTGATTCGAATGGAAAAATTATTGTCATGTTGGTTAAAAGCATTTATCGAGGAAGGCTATAAAACATCTCGCTGTAATTAATAGGAGCGAAAAAATAGTTAGGATAATAGTGTAGTTAGTAGTTAGGAGTTAAATAATCTACGTGGACAAAGTCGCTGACACAGCTACTACTCTTATAATAGAAACTTTAATAAGAGTAATTTGTGTCTATTCATAATGGCTCCAATTAAGAATTGCTTTTCTATCGTCAGTTTAACTAATATATATCGCGATTTAAACTGTTAAAGTGTTTTATTTAAACGTGTACTACTCGCATAAAATAGACACAGTATTTAAACATGATCTTCTTATGTCTAGCCTACTCATCACAGCAACTGGTCACATCAAGCTCACTGACTTTGGACTCAGCAAAATGGGTCTCATGTCATGTAAGTGAAGCATTACTATATTTTATATATTAGCTATTGATAGTGATAATATTAGAAAATATTGGTTTTTATTTATTCTATTTCCATTTTATTTTATGTTTATCTTTATAAATAAATGTTGAATAAAACGTTTCCTATATAATATATGGTATTACCAATAACACTTAACTTTTCTACAGTGGCTACTAATCTCTACGAAGAGTATGCTGATCGCGAAGCACGCCAATTCTCTGATAAGCAGGTCTGCGGGACTCCAGAGTACATCGCGCCCGAGGTCATACTCCGACAGGTAATTCATATAATTATATGATGAGCAGGGCCTAACAGAATATATATGCAACATTTTAATTTAATTTTTACGCGTGTAACAAGGATAGTGTAATAAATTTTTGTCTTTGTCGTCCCGTTGAGTTTTCAGTCGTGACAAACAATAACCAATAACTGTAAACCCCAGTGAGCAAAACAAACTATCTTCGTCAAATCTGTGGCCAGGGCAAAATTAAATCAATAACTATATAATCTAAGTTAAGGACAATTCTACGTTTTAGTAAAAATAGTTATATTAGTATAATCAAATAAATATTATTTGATTATACGACTACGTCCCAAGTCAGTAAAAAAATATACTACAATAAACAAATATTGAATATTGAACAAACAATGTTGAAATTCCCGTGTCCAGTTAAACAAATTTCCAATGAAATCTTTATGTTTTTATAAATGTGATCTATGCTTATAATGGGTCTATAATTTGCCTGTCAACTAAGTATGATAATTTGCATGTCTCCAGGGGTATGGGAAGCCGGTGGATTGGTGGTCGATGGGCATCATCCTCTATGAGTTTTTGGTCGGCTGCGTGCCATTTTTTGGTGACACACCTGAGGAGCTGTTCGCGCATACTGTCAATGGTTTGTTAGCATTTTTTTTAATTATCTACTAGCTGTGCCCGCGGCTTCGTCCGTGTGGAATAGTGACTTGGGATAGCATTTTTAATCATTTAGGATGTTTATAAATTTATGTAAGGGCGCATTTAAGGCAGTCTGGTGTCAATCTATGTTGCTACTTTGCCGCAACATTCTCACCTTACATCACTCCTACTATAACTCCCACTTCACTTCCACTTGTACTGTACCACTCCTATTTCCAAAAAACTCAAATAAGAAAATTTTATAGTTCTACCTTCAAAAACCACGAATTTCTATACCTTCATCCCCTTTTACAACCCCTATCAACCCTTTTTGGCATTAAAAAGTATGCCTATGTCCTTTCTCAGGCTCTAAAATATCTGTGTACCAAATTTCATTTAAATCAGTTCAGTACTTTTGCCTTTATAATATTAGTATATATAGTATGTAATAGTATTAAAAGTTTTCTAAATATAAGATTTTTTATTCTAGAGGAGGGTAGACAAGCATGGTTCACTTGATGCAAGGTGAAATACCCCAGCCAATAAACCAATTTAATATAATGCGCTATCGACCTATTTTTGCTTTGGATATTTGGAAAACTGTATTCGGTCTGTAACCGAAACGCGATTAAATGTAAACGGTTGAACGGCGGTTCGTGTCCCGGACCAATTTGGTTATTCCTAAGGTCTAACATGTTTCAGAAATTATATTTTGGAATTATAACATTGGACAGGGTAAGAATCGAATACACAATCCGTTGATTATTTACATACATTGATAGTTTCATACGAAGGGGCCAGTCAAATATAAAAATAATCTTGCTTAGTTCAGCTTATGTTTATTTTTCTTATAAATAGAGTAACAGCTCGTTAGAGCAAATTTGTTGGTCTGTCTTTAAAAATATGTTTAATTTAATAACTATGTTCTAATATATGTGTACTGTCTTAAAAATTATATGTAATTACATTTTATTGATTGCATACTGCTATTCTAACCATGTGTTTGCCATACAGATCTTTTGAAAAACTTTTAAGAACGTATTTTTGGTTAATATAAGTTGCGAATGTAATTTGACAGACGACATAGAGTGGCCGTCTGAAGACGACTTTCCGATCGCGGTGGAAGCGAGAGCGATCATCACGGAGCTGCTCGCGCGAAACCCCAGGGACCGACTCGGGACTGGTGGCACTCACCAAGTTAAGGTTGGTTCCAATACCCTACCCACCATTCTAATGATAGTTATGCTTTATTAGTGCTAATATATTAATAACAATTCCAGGAACACATATATTTCTACGGACTAGACTGGAACAATTTACTCCGTCGGAAAGCTGAGTTCATACCGCAGCTGGAAAACGATGAGGACACCAGCTATTTTGACAGTGAGTACTTTTCTAGACGGGGAAACAAATTAGTACGAGTAGTCATAGCTAAACGTAAGTCTTGCATTGCGGTTAACTTGATGGCAGGTGAAAAATTCCAGCCGTATAACATCTACACAAGATGCGATGTCGACCCATTTTGGCTTTGGATATTCAGACTGACACCGAAACGTGGTTAAACTTCGCCGCTTTTTCATATGCGGACTGTAGTTTGTAACACAGACAGAATTTCAACATTCCAACCACTCATTTAGTATCCACATTTTCAGACGAAGTGCGACATGTATCAGAAAAAATATAATTTGAAACATTTTGGACCCGGTGGGGAAACTTTGTGTTGTGATTTAAACCAATTTATAATTAGTTGATTGCTTTTTTTATATTCAAATTCAAATCATAGTCCTTAGCAATATATAATAAAATAAATACAAGTTTTACTGTTTTAAAAATCGAAAATGAAAATTTTTAACTTCGGCCCGATGTCACCCGTGACCACGTGCAAAAAATTGATACATGCACTCTCGCACAATGCATCTACCTAACACGTGCGTATTAAGGCCCAAGTTATGCTTTGCACTTAAAATCATTTTAAATAAGTGTTAAGTATATAATTCGCGGAGGTTTTAAACCGTTAAAAAAGTGTTTTATTTAAATGTGTAGCTCCAACTCGCGTCAAGCTGCAGTAGAGACAGGGGGGGGGGGGGGGGGGGGGTGGGGGGCGGGGGGGGGGGGAAAATTTTTAAAATTTATTTTCGATTTTAACAATATATTGTGATGCCTTATAAAAAAATATAATGTTTTCAAGTTTTATTATATTAAGTAGTTTTTTATACTAACTTTAAGGTTAAAAGTAGCATAAACACTTGGAGAACATGTTAACAGATATCTTTTACTAATTTTATTATTGATTATAGGCCGCTGTGATCGTTACAACCATAGCGAAGTGGAGACCGATGAGCAAGAGGGCGAGACGACTGCCACAGCGGAGGGGGGAGCGGGGGGAGAAGAGGCGGGGCTATTCGCTGCCTTCTCCTCTACTTCCCCACAATGGAGACGACATTATCACTCGCACTCGTCGCGGGTGAGTATCGAGGTTCGTAGACTTTTAAATATGTCCTAAATTAATTTTGAATACAAATTAGTGACATATTAAAATTAAGTATAAAAATAATAAATAAACGTTTATATAGAGCACGGACAGCTGGCCAGGGACGCCAGACAGCGCTGGTCCTCCCAGCACTCCTACAGCACCTCCGCCCACTTCACACCATCATCCAAAATGTCCGGTTAGTACCTAAATTAAAAAAAAACACACTTTGAAATTTAAATAAAACACTTTAACGGTTTAAAACGCGATATATTAGTTAAACTTATTTGAAAATGATTTTTAACTTCGGCCCGACGTTTCGGATGCTTTGTAGCAGCCGTGGTCACGGGGAGACTAAAGATGGAGGATGTCTCTGACGTCAAAGTAAAAAATTGCTACGCTAAAACGCTACGCTACGGTTTTAAACCGTTAAAGTGTTTTATTTAAATGTGTACTACTCGCGTAAACTATAGACAACACTTCGAAATGTTTATTATGTGACTTCAACGTACTCACTACTATAAAACTACTTGTAAAAAGAGTAGCCTTTATTTCTTCTCTTCTTAGTCTAGTTACTTCGTCTCATTTTTTATGATCGGAAAGGAGGAGGATAGACAAGCATGAGGTGTACTTAATGAAGGTGAAATACCCCAGATGCGCTGTCGATCTATTTTAAACCACAAACTACTTTAGAAGTTACTCTAAATATGCTATGAATAATTCAACGTCACACTGGCACATATATTAATCCACAGATGATATCCGCGAACTCAGCAGAATCATCACAGACCGACTCTGATGATGTGTCACCCGCTGCGCGTCGACGTGTAGCTCTACGTCCAACTCCATTGGCTCATTCACATTCCACCCACGCGGCACATCTTCACTCTCACTCTCATTTGACGCACGGACCGTCAACTCTTGCGCAGCCAACGCTGCAGACACAGTTGCATCCTGCCTTGTTGCCCAAGCCGTGAGTATATATTATAGATTTGAATAAAATACTTTGACGGATGGCAAAATATATTAGTCAATAGCTGGCTTCCGCAAAGCATTCGAAACGTCGGTAAATAATTTGTAAACAAGTCCAAGTTATATATTTTGCGTATTAAACCGTTAGTGTTTTATTGAAACTACTCGCGTAAACTATTGACTGTATCTATGTTTTATAGTCTGAAAATACTCTTAATAATATCTTTATAACAAATATAAAATTCTCCTTTATAGGGTGGACACATTTGTGTATCATTCATTGATTGATTTTATACACTATACAATGGGAACCTACACCAGAACTTCTCTCGATACAGACACAGCTACACGAATCAATCTTAATAATACGAAAAATTATTTTATCTAGGTCCGAGAGTAAGAAAGAGAAAGAAGATAAGTCGTTCGATAAAGTTGACAAAGCAGACCGAGATAAAAGCAAACCTATTGCGCTGTCTGCTCCGAAATCTATGCGGCGGTCCGCTAGTACTTCCGGGCTTTCACTCGTTATTCATCCCGGTATGTATTGAAATTAATAAAAATGTTACCTAAGCACTGTCTAAACTATACATACTAAAAATGCTTTAATGCATTCAGAATCAAAAAATAATTGTACATTATTTTCTATATTTGGTCACTTTTAGTGAGTTAAATAAATTTAAAAATAAATATTTTTAATTTCAATAAACTATTTATAGCAGAAGATAGTATAATAAGCATGGGTGGGGGATCGCCATGTGCCGGCAACACATCGTCGACGAATTCATCGCGAGATTCGTCGCCGTGCCGCGACCCTCCGTCGCCGTTTGCTATAGCCAATCACTCGTGAGTATACCTAGTTTGACTGTAGAGCTATATTTAATGACAATAATTGTATTTTCTAATAGTATATATTTCATATTATTTTTACCACTACTATCTTTAAAATGCAATCGTACCAAAAATTATGCAATGTAAGGAGTATTGAAGAAACAGTGACGGAATGCATGTTATATTAAGTTAATTGTTATTTGTAGGACCTGAAAAGTGCTTTAAAAAAAAACAAAAAAAAGTATTAACGCAATTAAAGGGATAGAAGACCTAGGTTTGGATCTTAATTAATTTTCTGACTATTCAAAATGTTTCAGGTTGATACAATCATCGAAACCGCCCATTGTGGTACGGCGTGGTCCACGCGGTTTCGGATTCACTATACACACAGTGAGAGTGTACTACGGCGACACAGACTATTACACTATGCACCATCTAGTATCGGTAGGTATTGTCTTATGATTAATATTAAACTCTCGTTCAAATGAAATACCTTGTTTTGTATTGTATTGTTTAGGCCGTAAGCGAGCAAGGAGCTGCTTGGGCTGCTGGCCTTCGAGCTGGAGATCTCATCACACAACTCAACGGTGAATCTGTTCAAGGCTTATTACATACTCAGGTATTACCATTTATCGTATGTATCTAATTAAAGCTTTATTGTAGCTTATTTCTAATTCACTTTTGTACGATTTATTATATTTTCATGGTTAACAGCAGCTTATGGTCCTTTGAGCCGCATATAAAATTCTTATTTTTTTCCAAAGGTTTTGAGATTGCTCTTAGCGGCGCCACACGCTACTCTACGCGCGACGCCCTTAGATCAGACTACAATTCAGGTAATATATACCGCTTTTTTATCAAAGATAATAAGAAAATCGAAGCCATTATCTTCGATAACCAATGTAATATCAGAAAAGTTGTGTACACTTAGCGAATTTACAATTTTATTAACCTTCAAATTATACATGTATAATACTAATAATGTTTTAACATAAAATAAAATAATTCTTAGGCGGGCGGCCGTCGGCGTTCGGGCGGAAGACGCGCTTCTGCGCCGCCTAGACCACGCCCAAGACGACGCTGTTCTCTGTTTAGGCGGATATCAACTAAACGTGCCTCTCAAGAGATGCATCAGGTATCTTGAAATATATTTCACTAAGATTTTTCTATCAATCTGGTATTGTACATGTTCTAAAATGTAATGATAATATAACGAATCGAGTGTTTGAAGCATTGGAACATGCTAAATACGCACCAATGAATTCTTGACTTTTTTGGGATTATAACTTCGAAGAAAATTATATGACAAGGGTAATTTCAACCTGTACACTTTTTAATCTAAATAGATTTTGAATTAACATAATGCCATCATATAGTAAATTCTTCAAAAACACTCAGAAACTAGTTTTCTTCTCGAAATCATTCTCCAGTTGAATTACATTTGATTACCCATACTGATTCAAGATAATAATTACAGATGGTCTCCGGTGGTAGCAGTGAAAGTTCTTCCCCCGCTCCACCAAGTGTACCCGCTATGACGGATGCGCCTTTGCACAATACAGCAACTACACACTATCAAAGGTAAACTTGAGCTACTTAAAAAAAACATATTACTTATATATCTTTTAAATATTTTTTTTATTAGCGGTATTGGAAGAATATATGGTTTATATTATACGAACAGCTTGAAACATAATTTACAAATAGATCAACTACTCTGATCATGGTAATAAAGTGATCAGTGAATATAAATTTCAGCAAAAAATGGCGATCTATTAAAAGGAAATGTACTTTGAAATAACAGTTTGGACGGTGTGAAACATGAAATATATTAGTTTACGCTATTTCTAATTTAATTTCATTGCGACTTAACATTAATACAGACCGTATTTAAGAAATCTATACTAATGTAAATAAGAGTTCGTTTGAACGCGCCAATATTAACAAGAGCATTTATCGCTTTATGGTAGAAAACATCACGATGCGACCAATAGAAGTTTAGGTACGGTGAGAAATGTGGAAGAAAACTATAATTTATAAAGAGAGGTTTGCACAAACAAAAGAAATGTTTGACGCCAAAAACTCTTCAAAACGGACAAAGTCGTTGGCACGGCTAGTGTACTTATATACAATGTATGTGAAGGAAAAAAGGGTTGTGTATTTCCACGAACACAGGTGATAGCTAACGCAGTACTTTTCTTAACCGTTTGAATTGCTTGCTTCGCTACATCATAATCTTGTTCTCAGACCCTCATCCCTGCACGGCTTAAAGCACAAGCTAGGCGGAGGCGAAGTTCGTCGAGCGTCACTACAGCACATGCCACTGTCGCCACTCGCTCGCACCCCCTCGCCCTCTCCACAACCTGTGCCGGCACCCGCTTCGCCGACCAGGTACGTTAAGAGATATAAACTCGAAAAAGGTCTATTATAAAGAAACCGCTTGCCATCGAATGTTATAGTGAACTACATATCAAAATATAATAAAATAAAAATTAGTTTATACTCACTCGAAGGTTGTCGTAATTAAAATTTTGGTAGATAATTTTTCCTATGACACTGTACATGCTTATGAAAAAAAAGTAGCATGTAAAAATAGATGATTCTTTACTGCGAATGTTTATGTAAAGAAAGTATGCACAGAAGGTAACAGATTCTATGGTGCGGTAACACAATTAGTGGAGCAAAAGTATAGTACGCTGTCGGTCGTTAGTTTGAGTGTTGCTGTTGCCAGTTCCTTTTGCAAGGCTAAAAACGACATTTAAGTTCAACGGATATTATTTCTCGAATACAATATTAATTTGTACTGAATAAGTACTTTAAGGAACAGAAATATCACTTTTGACTAACATCGCACACCATATTAACAATCATTTATCACTGTGTTATTTGGGAAGGTTTACGTTTCACAATGGTTCTAGGCTTAATGTGTTGTTATTCATTCATTCATTCACTGGGTAGCCGCGGATGTGAAGCCCGCAGTCCGTCGCCGCTCGCGACGCGGGAGTGTCGACGGGCATGGCCACGGCGGGACCCTGCCTCCCCGCTTCTCAGGCGAGCGCTCTCTCCCGACAGGTTTGTCACATCATTGGTGTCAATAAGTGTTGTTGTATCAAATAATAAATTAGTTTCTACCTAATGACCTTTGTTCATTTATGTGTACTACAAAGTTCATCTCTTTGTTGCATGCTTTTCAATTTGATTGGGTTGTGCTTGTTCATATCTATACAAGTCTTTTCTACTCCAGGTTACACCCTCGCTCCGCTGAAGCGAAGTGTTCTATATCTCCATTGTGCTGCGGCGGTGTAAGCACTAGCGGTACAACCACAGTAGCCACCACACGTCGTGCTGGAAGTTGGCGTGCTCCCGCCCCTGCGCCCCCTACCCCACCGCCCCCCGATAAAGAGGAGCCTCTCTTGCCCCGGATTGCGGAGGAAAAAGATTCGCCGACACACCATGCTGCTAGATTACCCACTAGGTTAGATATTTAAAATAAGCCGTTTAAATTCCCAAAAACAGAACGCACATAACTATTTAAATTGTTTATCCAGGACGCCAGCTAAACAGAGCACGCCGAGTATCTTCACTTCTTCTCCGAAGGCCAGTTTGGACAAATCCACTTTTGATGGCAACGCGTCATTTGCGTCGCTGTCGCTTTCTGATGAGTCTTTCGTAGATTCAAGTATGGACACGTCTAATATCGAGAGCTCCAGGGAAATACCAAGTATGTATATATATATTAAACAGTTGTAAATGTTTCTTATAAAACATTTTAAAATCTTTAAACATGTTGTTTGTGTTTCAGTGTATCTTACAGTAACGGATAGCCGTTCCAGTACAGATCCAAGCATCACGGTCTCTGATATTAACAAAAAACTGTCCTTCACACAAGAGTCCTCTAGCATCCCCGAAATTCAAGTAAAGACTCGCAAGAAATCGGACTCGAGTCTCAAAGAGGAAGACGTGAAATCTAAAGACAAATCGAAATCAAAAGAAAGAGCCGAGCTGAAAAAACAAGATTCTATCAAGAAAGTCGATAAAACAGATACAAAAGAGCTTAAAAAGCAAGACTCCATCAAGAAAATTGAAAAAGCGGAAACAAAAGAAAAGGTACAAGAGACAAAAGATGAAAAGAAAGATAAAATGGAGCGCAGTGGCTCAGTTAAAAGAGTCGAATCGAGACAAGAGAAACAGGAACGAGAGAAAGAAACGAAGTTAGAGAAGTTAGAGAGACAGGAAAGAGAGAAAGAGTTGAAATTGGAAAAACTTGAAAGGGAAAAGGAAATGAAGGAAGCGAGGAAACAAGAGAAGCAAGAAAAAGCCGAGAAGAAACAAGAAAAGGAAGCTAAGAGATCAGAGTCGTTGAAGAAAGAGTTTAAAAAACAAGAGTCGGTTGAGACGTTAAAGGTAAAGTGTTCACGTAAAAGATTAAAATTTCATTATTATCATGTCTAGCTTGTCTAAGTGACTTTTATGGTATTATAATATATGTAACGACAGTTTTAATATCTTCACACAAATTTACAGTCTCCAGAGGCAGAAACAAGTGAAGGTAGAAGTAAAAGCGTTGTAAGTAAGCTGCTCGGTGTCATGGGACGGAAGAGAGACGACGATGAGCACAAAGCGAAAAAGGACAAACACGCCAAGAAAAAGGTTCGTTGTTTTTTTTGGTCCATTTATATCTATACTAATATATAAAGCTGAATAGTTTGTTTGTTTGTTTTGACTACTGGTTCGAATTGTAAAATTGTTTTTGTATTGGTGTGATCATTTATCGAGGAATGAAAAGGGTGATTCCTCTTTAAATGCCCTAAAAAAAGTTAAATGCAAGAACGATGGAACGCGGACGAAGTCGTGGGTAACAACCTAAATGTATAAAGTCGAACAGCAGGTTGGCAAAAACAAATTTGATGCCCAAAATAACTATTATATGCGGACGAAGTCGCCGGCACGGCCAGTATTAAATAAATGCATATATTTTTCAGAACACATCAATACCCCAACCCCAAATACTGCCCGGCAAGCAGAACGATACAGGAATGAGCACTGATAAATTTGAAAAAGAGGACGACAAGAAGGCCAAAAAAGGACGCGGGAGAGCCTCTAGTTCGTCGTCCGGGGAGAAGTGAGAGAGATAGTTATAGTTTTGGACAGTTCATCTTTCTATCAAGGAGTCGAGGACTGTGATTTGTCAATTGGAGTGTGAATGGCTGAGTTTTGTAGTGGAGGTTGGTTTTGGTGGGTTTTTGTGGCTTGATAAATGACACAATACTATAATATTTGTAAATGGATCTTTTGATAGGTCGAATCGTCAGTTTTGCTACATAGAATTTTCAAAATGCATTTTTTAATACTAGGAGAACTACCCTCTTCTAAATGTAGCACAATTATCAATGAAACTCGCTTGGAAGGATCAATTTTGACTTAACTTCGTTTTAAAAATATCTTGTGTGTATAATAAGGATTTTAAACGTTCAAGATTCTAATTGTAATTGTAATGGATCCGCAGTCAACTCGTTTTTGTTTCCCCTTGGGGATTTTAATACGTCATATATACCCCTAGAACTGACACGTTGTCCTTACGTAAAGATTTTATAATCGCGTTCAAATATTAAGTGTTGTAAAATAAATTGTCTATGCTTAAAAGCTTTACTTGGTAACAATCGCTTGTTTTAAGACGACTTTGGAAAATGGTGGCACATACATCTACGCGGCTTGCTCATTTAATTTTAATAATGTTAGATTATAGCTTCATTTTATCGCTATCTGTCCTTTGCTTTCCGCTTAAGGCTGTGGTTAGTAAACATTGTAGATCTTATATACTGTCTGTAGTACTTATTTAAGTAAATAACATTTAACCGTTTAAAACGAGAAATGTATTTGGTAACGTATTAATAAATTATTTAACTACGGGCTGACGTTTCGGATGTTCTGCAGCAGCCGTGGTGAGAGGGGAGTTAGACTAGAGGATGTCCCTAATGCGAAATCTGCTTCGTTGTATTCAATGTTATGAGAAACTGATAATGAAGTGTCTAGTGATCTTGGGATTTATTGTTTGATATCGTGACCACGGCTGCTGCAAAGCATTCGAAACGTCGCCGTAGTTAAAATAATTTGTATATAAATTAACCAGAACATTTCATGTTCTAAACCGTTGAAAGTGTTTTATTTAAATTATGGGTCTTGTCAAGATGGTCTGCGTTTATATTGTTCAGTGGTTAAATCCCATGTGAAATAGACATTAACGATACAATGATTCGAAGTAACTTGAGGGGCAAAGCCCTCGTACAAAGTGAGAAAGAGACAACAGCAGTACATAATAAAAATAGTAAGTAATCGCTTGATTAGCGTTTATAGGAGACCACAGCCTAAAAGCAAAGCGTGGAAATGAAAACTCGATCTCAACTACTGTCGTCTTAACTCGGGCATCAATTCTTTTCGTTCAGTATTAAAATGTTGAGGCATATAGCATGTAAAAATCACACATTTTCAAAGGTGTAATTATTTTTTGTGAAAGTTTTTAATCTCATTGTACTTTCGGCGCTTAGGGTAGTGGTTGTTTGAATAGATTCTAGATTTACTAATTGTGATAGTAATTTTAAAGGAGTTTTATTTGTTAGTACGTATTAATTTTATTTCTTAATCGACTTCGCTTTTATTTGGTTTGTAGGTAATACTATATATCCAATAACGTTAGCAGTTGCATATTGAATTTTGTAATTTCATAAGTTTTTTATAATTCATACATTTATTTTCAATCATTACGCACAACATTTTAATTTCGAGTTTAGTGCCATGAAGTAGTTTTTGATATCATAACATTTTGCTCCCACTATAAATTCAAACTTACTTCTTCATGTATTTGTTGCGTTCCCAAATTGAGTGCTGTCTTCCAAGTTGTTTTATCGTTCCTATCTTTCTTGTAATTTTTTGTTATCAAAGCGCGTAATAGACATTCCAATGTGTTTAAAATACAAAAATATGTATCGCCCTTCTAGTGATCGAGTGCGGTTCATCAAAAATACTCATTAGTTTAAAATTCGCTTCCTACGTAATGGTGATACAGGGTTAAATGTAAAACTACCCTATTCTTAATATTGTTTAAGCTTAAAGTTGTTATTTTTGAAATTTGACGTTACTAACTTCACCTTGTTTTGGGACCATGATTTCAAATTATATTGTAAAGTTGAATATAATTTTGTATGATAATTTATTGCACATCTCGACGTTTTTATGGCTCATTGTCATTGTTTATTCATATATGTCAAGTAATATTAACTCGCTTCGTAACTGGCTTTACATTGGGAGAAGTATTTGTCAATGTACGAGGTCTAGAAGCTAAGAGGTTGAATATAATTTTAAAGCATACTCGGGTTTAGCTATGTATAGTCATATCTTCATCTCTGTGTTGTTTCCTGCCAGAATTAATGCTTAATTTTTAAATCTAGTGTAACAATATTAAAATGTGATTTAATAATAACTGTCTATAGTGAACGAGGAAATATTTTCAATAGAATATTATGTGTACGAATTGATACGAAATAAATTCATTAATTGTTCTTAATGTGTTGTTTTGTTTTTCTGAATATTGATATTCTACATACCAATAATAGACTCACCCCTTGGTTAAGTGTGGGATGGTGGATCATGTAGTTATTATCTATTGATCGGAAGCGCTAATTTCAGTAACGAACGGTTCGAATTGAAAAAAAAAAGGTTTAATATATCGAGGATATTTTAGGATATGAATGGCTTAGCGTCCGGAGACACCGGGGTGGTGACTCGTCGTCTCCATCGGTAGGTCGACATTTTCTTTAAAATTTTTCAGATACAGAGTAAACATTTCGCTGACCTGAGAATTGCGTTATTAGCAGTCGAAGTAGAATGCATAAAAAAAAATCTAATTAAATCTCTAAAAATTTATTGAGGAGTTTGAATGAGTCTAAAAAGTTAAATGTTAGGATCAGAAATGAAATACGAACAATTTTTAAAACTTTAATAAGGTCCATTTTGATGAAAGAACAACAGAAAAGACAAACGCTATGTAGCAAAGCTATTTTCCATTTATTTTTCAATACTATAGAATAAATAGTTACGTAGGTACACATTGGAGGTTTGAAAGAAAATTTGTGCGCAAAGAAACTATAATGGTTTTTAATTAGACGAAATTGATCGGAAACTGCGAATTACATTAACATCAAGTTGTATTTTAACGAATTTAATAATCTTAATCAGTACATAATATTAGAAAGGAGAATTTCGAATTACAAATGTAGTTGTATTTTTGACAGCGATATCCGAAGACACTTTACGCAGATGAGAACAAAATGCATTTTCAATCTTAACACATGAGGCACCTATATCTGTCTATCTACAGGAATCTTAAATCAATTCTAACAGTACCCTGTCTACGGAGTTCCATAGAATTACAATCAATGAATAATTAAAGGAATTTATATACCGGACCGCCCGAAGCATTTCTCCTTTATCTGTTTGATACAGTCACTGGGAGTCAATTTCCATTCAGGCCGCTTAAATTCAGCTTCGTCGAGGTCGGATTGCGATTCAAAAATATCACCTGATATTTTTTTAGGAGTCCCCCATTTCTTCAGACGATTGGTTCGGCGGTACTCCGTTTTGGTCTTCACTTGCGCCCGAGAAGTATTCGCCCCGAGACCGTTTGAGTTTTTAAACAAAACATTCTGCGGCGTACAGTATGAAAAGAGAGGACTGGATTGAAGACTCTTTTTGGCATCTTCGTTTTGGAATAGAAATGAAAATGAATAATCCGCTTCATTTGCTTGCTCCCTAAAGGAGCTTATCTGGTGTTTGCTCACTAGACTATCGTTATGTTGTCGAGAACTTTGCCGTTGCCTTAAGTAATCGTTTTGAGATTTCTTCACGATCATTGCAAAATCGTAGAAACGTTCGACGTTTACAGCGCATCGGTGGCATATTGCAGTCAAGTCGTCAGATTTTTCGATAAATACGTTCAAACATGTTAGTATTTTGTCCATCATATTTGTTTTTGTACAGTAGCTACCGAATAGAGATACATTGAATTCAGAGACAGATAAACATAACCGGCAAGGTTGTAAAGTCATTTCCGCTACTGTTTTTATTCTTAATTTTAAGTAATATAATATAATAATTAACATTCACTTGTCTGAAATTGCTAAATTTATAACACAACAATATCTATGTAACTGCACAAAAGTTTTCAAATATCTGGCAAGCTTGTCAAAAATTTCCCGCCATTACTAGTTCTTCCACAGATACAATAGAAGACTGATGTAGATTATTATAAAATATATTATTCCATTCATAGTTTTACAAAGCAGTAGAAACAATTTGAAAAAATATATATTGTAATTATTTCGCAAAAAATACTACGTTGGACGGCTAAAAGATGCATTTAGAAAGTATACATTGTCCTTGTTAATTTATTTAGTGTTATCTACTTTGAAAATAACAAAGAACATACTTGAAGAAATAATTGCACGAACTATTAAATTATGAAACAATCACAACATTTTATTTGTGATAAAAAGGCCTAAATAGATCTAATTGTTAAATATGTTTTTGCATACACTATATTTTATTTTAACACGTGACCACAGATAAAGTAAATTTATTTAGAAAGTTAAAGAGAATATATTTTAACTTTGAATTTTGCGTTGTTATAATCGTATGTGGTCCTGACATGATTAAATAGTTATTATTATGTATTTATTTATTATTGTGGTTAAGCATTGAATTAATTAACAGTATGGTTCTACAAGAAAATCGCTCGGTATCTATGGACGGACAGATGTCTCGATTATTTATAGAAACTCTACAAGATTAAGAATGTTGTGATTGTTCATAATTTTGGTAGCTCTCAATTTATAATTCAAAAATAATATAAAGTTATTCAGGAATGTAGAAAATTTAGACACCGTTGCCGCTTGTTATTTTCCTTGCGTCTTCTTTTAGATAAGCGTAAATATGTCGTCAAACAATATGTTGGGTTTAGTTAAATATAACGAATTATCTCTAAATCGTAATCTTAGGTCTTGACATTAAATGCTTAGCCCATCATTTAACTGACTCCTAGATTTTGATAAAAAAGTTTATAACATATCCCTATATGGTATTTTAAAATAATATTTATTTTAATCAACCTGGATTAAAGATTCATTTCAATAGATTTATGGTTAATGATTTGTCGTGTTTAGGGTTGATTTAAGTGCGACATTTCGTCGGTACAAATAATTATGTTTTATAGATATATTACGAATAAAAATCTATTTAGATGAAAATAAATATAAGGGCAGGGCTTAGCGACATTCACAGCGTTTCGTTCTTGAGTGCTGGACACGATAGATAAGATACGGTACGGAACGCTGTGGAAGCCGGTTCAAGCCTGCGCGTGTCGTAAATTTAATCTAAACATTTTTGAATTATATAATGTGGATGTGAAAAATATTAAAATATAATAATACGTATAAATGTAATAATAATATTGCTTTAGACTTTAGATTCTATTAAAACTCAATCAAGAAGAAAAAATCTCTGCGATAGGCCATGTTATAAGCTTCCTTAGCACATAGATATATTTTTTAATCACTATTCTACTTCGACCAGACCATATCTACTATCACAAGCCACCACACCTATTTCATAGACAGTGATCGTTAATACACATAAAATAATACATCATTTATAGAAGCAAAGCTTGCCGCTTGGCCACGGAGATCAGCGAGGGCGATGCGACGTGCGAGTTTAAAATATCGCGTCGCCGGTCGCCGCCGCGAATTGATTGATGTATGTTTAATTCGGCGAGTATTTCGTGGCCAAGTTATACATACCTACCTACAAATAATTTGCAATTAACCACATGAGAATAATTAGCCCATTATTGTATTAAATGCGATGTTGTGTGAATCCACTGTATCAAACTGACATTCCCCTAAAGAATGTATGTTCGATCGACATTTGATAATGTCACGATGAAATGGCCGAACCGTTACACGTCGTCCTCCTTTTTGCCCCAGAATTTGTCGAATCTAGATCGGGCACGGTCTAGAACTTCCGAGGCCGTCAGACCGCCTGTACTTGGTGTGTCATTCACCACTGTCGTATCGACGACGCCCGGCGCGATCTGAGTAGCTTCGGTTGACTTTTTGATAACTTCCTTTTCTTTGACCTCCTTGACTGGGGTTTCCGGTGTCAACTGATCGCTGGTTCCGTTGACGCCGTTCACTTTCAGATCGAGGGCCTTGGTCTCATCTATCGGAGTCAGGCTTATCGGCGTCGTCGGGGTCTTATCGACGCGTTTGCTCAGACTCGTGGGCGATTCGCTCTTTCTCAACGAACGTATCGGTGACATCTGCTGGTGATGTATCGGGGCGATCTCTGAAACATTGCGTTCAATTATGGCGAGATGGTCTTCCGTCTGAAAGTTTCAAATATTTCGATACAACGTCTATACTTGAAACTTTCTTTGGTAACGACAACAAGCACATTTAGTCTCGTCTAGCTCGGGCTATTTATATCGGCGCAATATTAGGGTTTCGTTTTAATCTATTGGCAATGGTCGGTCGTACTTACTTTATTTGTATTATTATTGTCGATTTTTAAATCTAAACCACTCTACTCGTGAAATACGTAATATTAAGTTTCATAAATATAATTCATGCTGAATATTATAAAAATCGCCATTCGCCACAAACATTGTTGCTGATAATTTTATTTTTATAGGAAATTCGTGTTGGTGGTAGTTACGCATAAATTTGGTTTCAGAATAACATATTTACAATTAGTATTCTAAGCCAATTCGAGAGATATATGCGCTTGAATGCCGCTGGCGTTGGCACAAATGGAGTTTCATGCTTATTAGAATATTATGTAAGATCTAAATAGGAAATCCGTTTCCCGACAACAACCACAGTCGTAAGATGTCATGCATAGACAGATGATTCGGAAATAGCGACTCTAACCGGAAGGATCTAACCTATCGGGGCGCATCCAGAAGAGGTTTATATCTCGATTACGTCACTGAAGAGGAGCAGGCAGCATGCAGTGAATGAGATGAGATGAAGAAGAGGACAGAGTGCCAAACGGTGAATGTGTACGCAAACATCGAAACAGACACACACACAAATGGATACATACGTGGTCGACGTCTCATCGGAGTACGGTCAAAAAATAAAAGTATCTCAATTATTGGATTAACACAATTTAATCATGAACTATCAATAAATATAAAACAGGTTATATATTATTTGTTGTGTCGTGTTTGTAGCAGTGAGCTCTATGTCTTTGATAAGAGATCACCGTCTGATACACTCATTAAAATCGGTGATCGGTGATGGTCTAGGCAGTGGTGGACGTCGTACCTGCCGGCTTCGCGGGGGCGTCTTCGGCCACGGAGCTACCCTTAAAGTCAGAGCTAGGGCGCTTTACGTTCTCATCTGAAATATGGGAGTGGTTGTATGCTTGATGGTGACTTGCTACGCTACTCTGCGTCCACAGAAAATGTTTTGCACGTTTGCATTCCAAATTCAAATGTAAAACTTATACAGATCATATCGTTTTTACAATATCAAATGTAACAGTTTGTTATAACACTTTGTGTGGACCAAAAATCAACTAAAGAATGACGTTCAAAACTTCAAACAAGTATAATGATGTATGAAAAATAAACGGGTGGATTTAATTTTAATGAGTGTTAACTTTTCACGGTTCCATTTTCAAAATGCACATGATCGTATCGTGTGTTCGGTGTCAGTGTTACAAGCCTAATGTTAGTGGTGGCTAAGTTTACACACTTTAACTTAAAAATGGCTTATGTCTTATGTTTATCTATTACAACGTGAGTGATTTTATGACAGTGTGATGGCTTTCCGTCGTTAAAATTAATCACCCAATAAACTCAAACAAGTATGTAATTATCAATATTAAATTTAGTTAGATAAAAGGGTGACAAATTTTATTCCTCAAGTATTATTTATATAAGACTTAAGTTTATGCCGTCTATCTACATAGAGCGTCTTATTCAAGGAGTCGTTCTAGAAAGGTCTAGATGTGCTTTACAAATTCAGTGCGACCACCACCGCGAAGAAGACACTCTAAAGCCAATACATTTACAATTCCAAAAATCACACGAGTGTCACCTACTGGTCAAATTTTGACAACTCTTGCGCATTACAAAATTGAATTTCGAACGACAGACTAACTTAGTTTGAATGTGACTGTCAGCTTGCTCAAGAGTGACTCACCGCTTTTGACATTCTGTGTCACGGTGAATGTCTTGCCAGTGTCAAGAGGCACGGTCCAGTTGACCGGGTCTGGGGAACGCATGTTCATTTGTTCCGGGGACTTAACCCTGGTGGGTTCCGGTGGAGATTTGACTACTGGAGAGTCGTCGAAGAAGTGGTCTTTAGCAACGGACGCGCTGCGATGAGATGGCATTTCGTCATCTGTAAAATCCATTATATTGATATAAGTGGATATAACTATTTATAACACTTAAGACACGCGGCTCAAAAACATATTGATACCATAATAGCCCCACGCCACAATATTTATTAGTCATATAAGAATCTTATGAAACACTAATATACAGACAACAATCCACAACATCAACAATTCAACAAGACCAAAAAACCATTAAATTAAAAAAACGTATTGATTTCTAAAGGATTACAAAGTTATGAATCAATTCTACAAACTACTTTCATCCCAAGTTTATCTACGCACGTCTAAACACCAATAAATCAAGCCAATTAAAAAACGTCTACTAAACATGGGATTTAGGGACATAGGGAAGTGAGGCTGATCGCAAAACATCTCCATTGTCTTACTGTTCTTTTTATCTCCTATAGTGATTTCAGTGCAATGTGTTCCACACCACGGACAAGACAAAAATTTCACGCGTGAGGCCATTCAGGCGCGTTGCCAATGCATGACTAAGTTGCGTAGACGCACTGACAGATTGATTCCGACTAAAAGCACAACATCACAGAAGCCAGTTAGAGAAACAATTTTTATCTATGGTAAAGCGTTAGATTTAGGCCACCACACTTTAGTTGTGATTTTGAAAGCTTGAAATAAATAAAACATTCAACGTTTTAAACACGAAGTATTAACTTATTTAATTGAGTTAGTTGAAACTCTAGTCGTCCCTAGAGTGTAGTGGCGATTACAAAAGCAAGCCGAATTAGTAGAACCTTCGCCAAATTATTAGATAACAGAGCGTCGACGCAACCGTCACCTGTAGTGTCCGTACGCACCCAATTTTATGCCCACTTTGGAGACGCTCCGACTCCGTTTCCCCTTCTCAAGTGCCCCATTCGCGTCCACTGTCCCATTTGTCCCTGGCCCAGTTTTTGGAGGCGCAGAGGGTGACCTTCCACCCCTCGATGATGACCTAACTCTATTACTACTGCCCCTACTTAACGGCAAACCTACAGAACAAATAGCATACTAAAATTTTGTCTACGGAAATGAAGAACCGATTCCCAATAGGCGAGGGTACAGGCATCAGGCAGGAATGAGAACAGTTAAGTCACAGATAAAGTTTTGTTTACACCGAAGACGTCTACATTATATATGTCTAGAGAAGATCTAATACACGACAGTAGAAACACTCAAACTCACTAAGAATAGACGAACTAGAGGGTAATTCTACATTTTTGATAAATAAACACTATTTTTTTGATTTACATGAATTTGTTAGCATGAGTTCCGGCGCTTATATGGTAAAAGTTGAATAATTTAGGGGGTGAATTTACCAGTAGGTTTAGGGGGTCGTGGATGAGCTTCATGTCCATTGGGCAGATGTCGAGCACTGGTGACAGGCGCTGGGTCCGCAGAGCGTGGTCGCCTTCGTGGAGAACGATAGGCTCCTTCGGTTTTAGGCCCTATGATTACATTCAAAGCAATTTAAAATCGGGTCCTTTTAGGGTACATGACCGGATAATGGGTTAAGAACAATAAAATATTATTTTCACCTTCCTGAGCGGCCCCTTCATCAAAACTATGCCCCTGGAGTTTCTTCCTCTGTTTTTGGGGCGATGTCTTGTGGGGTGAGCGCTCAAGAGCCTTGGTCTCTTGCAGCTTTGCATGAATGGACTGGTGAGGTACTGACCGGAATGATCTATATTTCTTCGGGGAGTGATTCTTCGAGTCTTTACCATCTTTCTCGTCACGCGGCAGTGCTCTGAAAAAGACAAAGTCAGTTTATACTTTGTAAACAATTACCATTCATCTATGCTCCATAAATATAATATATAGCTCAAATAGCTTTCTCGCAATCTAAGCCATTCGATTGTATTAGCTATCTGCTACTGTGGGACCTTATATGAAATTTTCCTTCAAAGGATATGTGGTAAAAGCTTGGTCTCTCGAGCTAGTGCGTATTAAAATAAAAGTGCATCACTTACTTGTGATTGGTGGAAGCGAGTGACAGCGCAGACAGGGAGGACCGACGGGACACTTGGTACCAGAGCTCGATCTGCTTATTGTAAAGCTGAGTGATGTGCTCTGGAGCCAGCTCGGTTCCCCAGCCACGATACTGTCAAACAATTTTGTATGAAAGCATGATCGTATTATATCACGTCACAAATGCCATTTGGTCAGTGGTATAATGTACGCTACTACGATGTGGTTTTCAACTGTTTTTGGTTTTATTGAGGCCTAATAAGAATTGGGAACCTATCAAAATCTGTAACAATTCTGTTGGATATTCAGGGGTATCTGTAAGGTAGGGGCAATAGAAGTGGCGCAGACCTTGTATTCGCCGGCGCGTTTGCGCAGGTCCAGCACCTCGCGGTACCAGGAATCGCCTTGTGCGAGCCCGAGCGGCTGCAGGCCGGCCGCACGGAGCGTGCTCGCGCTGTCCTCTCCGGCCGCCCCGGGGGCAATCGGGGCGATCGGCGCACTCGCCCCCCCTAGCCCCGACCCCCTCGCCCTCGCCCACCAACCTCTCGCTCGCCTCCTCATTTGACTTCCCTTTCCCCCTGCATTTCGTAAATGTCCCTTTAGACGCCTCGTACACGTATTGAGAGAACGGTCTAAATTTCTTTTTGTACTCGCTTTTGTAACGTTTCCTATTATCTTTGGAACGATCCTCTCCGTTGTATATGAGGGCCGATAGCGCGCTACGGAACGTCGATTTTCTGCAAAATGCGATTTCAAGTCAGACGCTGGCACGTGGCGATGGAGTGCGGCAAACAAAGGGCGCCGAGCCAGGTTAGTCATGCTCAAAGAACTGTCAAGCACGCAATGCGGTCGGGTTAGTCCGCGGAACTAGAAGGAGCCGCGCTCGACGCCGCGCTAACTCGGCGTAGTGTTAATTGTTAGGTGATAGATACAACGACATACAATCTAACAAACAATTTTGATAACGTTCACATTGATAAAAGTGCAGGTCACAACGACATTAAGAAAGTAATTACTATTAGCTGACATTCCGGACTATCGGATCTAGTTCTACTCGGCCTTCAACCGCCACCGTGAGAAGATTTAGAAAAGCAAATATCAAAAATGAAATTTAGACTTGTTCTGCTTTACCCAGTGGAGTACGAAACGGAAAGATAGGGCAGAACAGGCGCGGTGGAAACTTTTACTGACGTCATCGTGCTATTGGACGAACGGCGGCGTCGAACGGTCCCTTCGATTTACAGAAACTATTTATAAAAATACTGTAACAATGGCGAGCGAAATGCATTGTGTGGAATTGTTATTATTTCTCAGAATTGCGCGGCCTTGGCCCGAATGACTTTGAAAATTCAAACAAAATGTTTCTACGGACGAGGTCCATACTACACAATATACTAGATCATGGAACCTATTCGAAGCTTGGTCTATTGTCTTCAGCGGGATATCTATTCGAGAAGTAAATAGTTACTGTAAAAATTAAAGTCGGAACAAATAAAGTAATTATTTAAAGAGATGAAAATATTTTGAATTAAGAATTTATTGACTTTATTATTAACATGATGGCACTATATAAAAAAATCGATTATAATTGTTTTTCAATTTAAAAGTCGATTTTAGATAAAAATTACGACACGGGCAGGTTTTGAACCGGCATCTATAGCGTTCCGTAACTCTTAACTAATTGAGCTACATGTCATTGTAGTTCTTTTCCATCGTGTTGATACATGTACTCGCGCAATTCATTTTGAATTAAAAAAAAATGTATAACTTGGGAGATACTCGAATCTACGACCACAGCATCCGGTGCTGTTAAACATTTGAATTACCATGAGAATCATTACGGGATAACAATATAGACTGACTAAAATAACGCAGTAAAAGTTTCCTCCGCGTATTTGTTAGTACACAAAACTAGACATAGATTGAAAAGCATAGCAGTGACGTTTCTGAGACCTGAAAAATCAATCCATATTTTCATATATATCACTTATATATACAAATGTACGCCCGGTTTAAGAAGAATATATCGTGGGTTAGAGATGGTTAGTGTTGGGGTCTGCAAAAAGCTGCTTTAGCGAAGCAAAGCACTTGATGAAGAGATTATAAAATGTACGGGTTATGTTAATTGTGCTGTATAGACTGTTCCATTCATGAAAGTACAAGAACAATACTACGTATTAAAAATGGTATCTGGGCATGCAGAGTTTGAAACAATCTATAACAAACGTAAGCATTAATGAACGTGGTTGGGCTAAAGCTAAATACTTCAGAATCTAAATACACTCATCATGGAAACATTTTAACGGTTTAAAACGCGGCTACTATTTGTTAAATAATTTTTAATTCATATTTTCAGCTCTAACGACCACAACTTCTTCACAGCGGTCGAAACGTCGTAGTTAAAAATAAATTGTATTATATCACGTTTTAAACAGTTAAAAGTGTATTATTTTAATTAGATAGATCTGTTATAATTGTGACTATCTGCATGTAGATTCTGACTATTTAAAAAAGATACTTTACTTTATAAAATGAGTAAAATAGTGTTAGTGAGTTCTTCATATTCATCTTATAAAGTAAAGTTATTTTTTTTTTAAATGCACACCTTTGAACCCCTGGCTTCTGCCCGTTCCACAGATAATCTTCAATGTAACGCTTGTGGTCATCTTCACCATCGATGTGGTTCATCAGCGGCTCCGCTTCTACAGACCCTGGAATTTTGTGGGTATTTCGTTCAAGAAAAACATAAGTAAGTATTGTTTTTCAAAAATAAACGATGTATCGTATGTACGTATCTCTCTATTCAAAATGTATCTTTTATACATCTTTTCTCAGTATCCAGTTCACAAAACACTGTCCAAAATAAATTAGAGTATGTTTTTTTTATTTATTGTCGGCCCAATTAAATAAATCAAATTTCTCGTGCCCTTTTGAAAAATTTATATTCTACACGGTAAAGATTTCTTTAAGGTTTTTGAACAAAATAATTTGAAGCTTTGAGACCAAACGTGTATTGACAGCGGCTTTGCCATTTGTGGACGGTGGTTAGTGATCCGGACGGCATTTAGATAACCCTTACTTCGTTCATTGCGTATTAAACGTTCAAGAAAAAAAAATACAATCATATAGAAACATGTTTCATCCACGAAATCGAACCCGGATCCCTTAGTTATTAGCTTGTTTGTCATTGCACCAAAAGGCGGTCGCTGTTTAAAATTTTAATACAACTTTGAGCTTACACGTAGCGAAGTTGTTACCTGACGTGTCAAACTGAGCGACAAAATTTGAATATCAAAGTTTTGAAGTGACAAGCGCGAAGCCTCATCAACAATGCAAAGACAACTGGGATTATCTTAGGGAATGTTGGAAATACACGCTATATTACACACGGAAAGTAATATGTACGTTGTCTTTCTACATTTGAAGTGATCAATTTCACTATCATTAAATACTGCCTGTAATTTACGAGAGTAGGTACTGCACATTTAAATAAAACACTTTAACGGTTTAAAACAGTTAAACTTAAAACTGAATAAAAAATAATTTTCAAATAAGTTTAACTAATATATATCGCGTTTTTAACTGTTAAAGTGTTTTATTTAAATGTGTACTAACATTTATCAATTATAACTATGGCTACTACGCTGTAAAATTTATATAAGATGTAATTTTAACGGAGATACAATTGCGCTGGCGCCATGACGCAAGGGAGAAATGGGATTTATTGTTATTTAGGTATGTTTTAGCTTGTATTTAGTTTTTCGCTGACTAACGAAAATGCTTAATGCAATACGGATGTATTGACTTGCCAGAAAATTGCCATTACTTTAATTTAAAAGGTTCAAGCTAATAAAAAAAGCAACGTCTTTTTACCTTCAGCAGCAGCTGCTTTCTTCAGCGCTCCCATAGAAATGCTCTTCCTAGGCGCATCAGTCGTGTCTTTAGGCCAGGCGAACTGGTTGCGATATTCTGTGCTCACTGACACGGGCTCCGGTTCTTTGGCTGCTAACACCTCCCCTAATGCGGTAGTTGCCTGTCGATACAAAACATATACTGTTGGTCGCTTAAATAAGTATTTATCAGCATTAGAAGCAACATATGTTTCTTTAAAACATAATGACATTAAATAAAACACTTATAACGGTTTAGAATGCGAAATGTACTAGGCCCAACAACAGCAGGTCACGGGAAAAATAATTTGTAAATAAGTATGTATATATACCTAACACATTTGGCGTTTTAAACCGTTGAAAGTGTCATTTTGTTTTAAGTAATATATATATGTTTAACTATTCATTTAAATGAACTAGAAAGACAGAAATTATCGAATCATGATTATTGCATACGATAATGTTATTTGAAAGAAAGAAAGATATATTAAAAATATTTCTTACACAGGCGGGATTCAAACCGCGAAACGACTTGTTTATTATGTTAATATCGTATGTTTTATGTAAGAAAATTACCTTTAGAAGCAAGTAATCTAATTTTTTTTTTCAATTTTAAAATATCTTATTGACGGACCTTGGGTTCCACAGTATCCGTCCACCTTGGCTGGCGAGGACCTTCAGACTTGCTGCGACGCCCGGCGCGGTCCGAGTCATTTCTTTGAGCGCTCTGAAATAATATTAATCTTAATTGTGTAACGCGTTATTCCGAGAAGAAGAATGATCCTCTTTAAAAGATTAAAAAAAATGTCTACGACAGTATATGTCTGTCTTCTAAGATTAACTTGCAAGAACGACGGGACGTGGAAGTCGTAGGTAACAGCTATAAAGATGAGGAGGAGGTTGGCAAAAACAAAGTCGCGGGCACAGCTAGTGCTGAATAAAACGACATAACAGTCTCTCCTTGACACGCACTCGACCGCTTTTCTTGTGACAATCTTCGATCAATGCATTAGCTTACGCAATCACCCAACATGGCGATAGTGCATGGCTTCGATTTCCCATGAGGACCCTTGTGGAATGGAAATTTGTGTTTTTTAACGTCTTCATTTAACGTTAGGCCTAATTAGCACGAGAGCTTTTTTAACGTCCGGTAAAAAAGCGTTCAAATAGAACATAACATGCATGGGCAAGTACGTGCGCACGTACGTTCACACGTCAGCGCTTTAAAACGTGACGCTTTTTTATGGAGCAGTATTGCATTTTCAATGCAGAGCAATTATGACTCAGACGGGAACCGGCATCCACAGTGTTCCGTGCTGCTGCTCTAACCAATAGAGCTACCGTAACTGCGGTCGGAGCAGCAGCACTGAACGCTGTAACGCTTTTTGAATCCGCCCAGTCGTAAATTTTTCTTCAATGTACATAATAAACATGAAAAATATAAAAATTATGAATTATAATGAAATATGAAAAATAATAATAAAAAATAAAGCTACCAGTGGGGATCGAACCCGCGACCCGTTGATCGCTACTCATTCCTGCTACCATTACACCAACGATCGTCAAATACAACATTATTGTACTCCAAAGCCTTAATTGTCAATGGCGTAACAAAATCGTTTCAGCTCGAATTGATCTAGACTAAAATAAAACAATAAAACGTCAAAAACCGTTTTACAACCTACGAATAAGTACATCGTAAGATTTCAGATCGGATTTTATATTCTTTGTCTCGTTTACGACGTTCACCCGATTGCGTACAAAGATTTTCGAGGATCATTCGTGCATATTATATTAAAGACATAAATCAAATCGTATTTATTGCTATTCGCTGAAGTTGGGTTGCGTTTTTTTGACTTGATCGTATTTTTCGGGGTAAGACGGGTAGAGGGGGGGGGACTTGCGGATAAGGCTGGGGGAGGGGATAATTCATAAGAACATGACTCACCCTGAGCTGGTTCTAGATTTTAAAGTACAGTATGGTACATTACAAAAATGGGACCGTGTTGTATGTAAGGTATTGTAAAAAGTTCTTTATGATTAAAATAAACTTATGTACCTACAGCTCTTTTTTGTGAAGGAATATATTGTCTTTCTTAAAACATAAAAAAAAAGGAAGCGCTTCACAAAGTAAAGATATGGCGCATGTAGGATTAAAACCTTACCCGGGCGCGGTCGAAGGTAGCGTTCTGTTGTGGCCGGATTTCATCAGACGGAGCCGGGTCAAAGAACTCATTGGTCTTGTAGGCTACTCCGGGGTACTTCTTGCGACGTGGCAGTGCGGGTTCGATTACTCCTGCGGGTACAAAAAACTTAATTGATCTGACTTAGGAAGATATAATAATAATTGTTTGTGACACGACTGTTTATGTTAAAAAATATGCAAAACAGTGAATCACAGTTAAAATAAAATTATGTAAAATTCACGTTTCAATTCGTTTTTTATGGTAAGCCGATATAAGATTGCTGTGTTACGAAAGTTTATGGTAAAAAACAGTGCATCGAAGGTAAAGTAAAATCGTGTAAAATTTACGTTTCAATCCGTTTTAAATGGTTTTATTTAAGTTTTTTAAAATTAGAAACATACACATTGTATTTAATTAGAAGCGGCGGACGTTCACAAGGTTTTGTTTTTAATTTCGATAGTGTTCTTCAAGAACGCGGTGTCACACTCAAAGCTGGGAGCGGTCTTCACGAAAAAAAGTTCTTTGTAAGATCAAGATGAAAATCTGCTTACAAAAAACGAAAATCCAAGGCAAGATAAAAGGTTCAAGGCTTTCTATGTGTCAGCCTCGGTACAAGCTAAGTGTATACAAACAAGAACATCTTTAGAGAACAAAGTAACCAATCTCCCGCTAAATGCCTAAGATCGTGGTTCTGGAGCCTAGTGCAGCGATAATCGAAGCGATTTTGTCGAGAATATCTCTAAATACCTACATAAGAAAAATAAATAGATGTCATTGTTTCTGTGTATGTATATATCCCATTAAAGTATTTTATTTAAATGTGTACTACTCGCGTAAAATATAGACTGTATTTAACTAGGCTTTTGTTCATATTAGAAAGGCTTCAATCGTGACAAAATTTGAAGGTCACTCGAACGAAAAAATACCCGTCAAATTGGATATTATTTTCAGAGCTTTGTTGTTGTTGCGCCGTAAAGTTATTATGTGGGATTTAACTTTGATAGAAGATATTCTAATTCAAAATATATTAAGACATTATTTCAAAATAATTTGATGAATGCAGAGATTTTTATATTTTTATTATAGTTTTACATTACTTTCCAAAAGACCACAAAAACTTTCTTATTGACAAAATCTATAAATAGAGTATGTTCAACGATTTAAAACACGAAATATATTGCTTATTTTTTTATGATAGAGGAGGTCACAAGTCTCTTACACAGTTGTTTCTGTTTTCATAAATAAATATAAAATGCTTTATGTCACACCTCTGGCAATAGGCAATGCGGAGGGCGGCGCGGGCGCCGGCTGCTTGAGCACCCCTGGCTGCTGCTGTTGCTCTTTGTACTCGTGCCATCTGTACGTGCTGCGGTACTCCGAGTGCAGCTGTTGACAAATACGAGAAATTCTTAATACAAAGATGTTATTGATTTACTTTTTTCTATCTACTATTAGTTTAAAACCCTTAATATGTAAAGATTGCTTCATTGTCGTGGCTAGATTTTTTAACAGACGAATGTAGACACTTATCAGGTTTACCTGATAGAATGTAAAATACTCCAGCCCTATAACACCTTAATAAGATAAGTCATTATTTACATTCACTATTCTTAGCAAAATCCACGGACTGAAAGCAGAACGCGGATTTAGATTTCTCAGTGTCATTGAGAAGTCCACTGTGTAAACACAACACAAATACAGGATCTGAACGGGCATCCACAGCGTTCCATGCTTCTTGCTCTAACCAATTGAGCTACCGAGTACCTTGTTTAGAGTACCATCACGGAACGGTAGAAGTCTCCCCGTGACCGCGGCTGCTGCCAGGCATCCGAAACGTTGGGCCGTAGTTAAATAATTTTGTGTAAAATACAGGCAGTTTAATAAATTTTTTTTATAAAAATTGCTGTTTACGTTTTAATTACCGTTAAAATTGGCCTAATCTTGCCTGTCATAACCTTGTCTAATGAGATTGTGATTGGAGTGGCACCGCCATTTTGTAATTAAGCGATACTTTCACGCTTATACAACCCTGGCGATAGCTGGTGCCAGGGTATTCATTTTTCACCTTATTTCAAAGTAGACAGATATTAAATGTATAGTATAAAATATACAAATTTTAACAGATCCTGACTTCGATCCCCACCGGGGCCGACATTTTTCTAATAAATTTATCATTTTTTTAAAAACATAGTAAAGACTTCGTCTGGACATCAGGATGTTAAATGTGTGGTAAGTATGTCGATATTCCGTCACGGTCGGGTCGCGGCCCACCGTCCACAGATGAAAACAGCAGTGAAGTTTATTCACGTAACGGTTTGAGTCTGTCTATTTCCGAATATCCAAAGCCAAAATAGGTCTATATTGCACCTTGTTTAGATGCTATAGGCGGGGATATTTCATCTACCACCAAGCGCTAGTAACCTCATGCTAGTCTTTCCCAAAAAACTATACATAGACACCAATACATAAATTAAGAAATTATAGCAAAAATATAACTGTTCGTATGCTTATAATATTTTGGGTTATTCATTCATAATGCCTAGATAATTCGTACCTTTGGCTTCATGCACATTACTTAATGTTTTAAAACAACTTTGTATTAGTTAATTATTGCGTGTAAATGTTTTAAATCGTACAGTAGTTAGTAGTGAAATCCCTTTTCCCACGTGGGTCATGAGGCGGACACATTTCTGCGTCCGTTTCACTGATCGGTGTTATTTATAGGAAAGTAGTTAATTAGACTTGTGCCTGGTTGAAACTGTCTTTTGTTTGTCTGGTATTCGAACCCAGGATTTCTCACGTTTAATACAATCACGTTTAACAATTTATCTAGTAGGCGGTCTTCAAGTATTTTACTTTTAGTAAATTAATTAAAAAAAAATAACTTCCAGAAGATTCCTTGGTCTAATAGTAGCAATGTATAGCTTTTATCCAACAAGTAACGGGTTCGATTTCTACGACATATTCATAGACCATGATAAACCTCGTGTAGACAATCGACACATCAAAATTGGAAATATCAAAAATTGTTAACGGGTTACGAATAACCTACATACATAAGCCTTAAACTGTTAACTTCGGTTTTAATCTGTAGATTTCCGACAGTCGAAGTTAGACACCGAACTTATATCAAATCGATCGTCAAGCCTCGTCGTCTGTCCTCCACTGTAATAAAAACCTTAAAGCACGTAACAGTTTTCTACTCGACATACATTTAAACACGCAAAAACGAGATTTTATTTCGTACGAAGCGTTTAAAACACTTCTGCATTGCCATAAATTCGTAATCTTTTGGCAGAAACAGTGAATTCTGTGACCCACTTCCCATAATTGTTATATAACTTAAGGGGTCATTGACCCTTGGTTTCGTTGGAACTGCGACAGTGTTTTAATTGTGGTTAACAACACATACTTATCTAATTGTACTTAGCGTAAGTTTCTTTATTACAGAGGACAGACAACCATTGATGGTAGGTAAAATACCCTAGTCATATAACATCTAAACTTATTGTAGCTTTGGACATTCAGAAATCCACAGACTGAAACCGTAACACAATTAAAATTCACGCCTTTTTGTACTGCGGACTCTGGTTCAAGACCCGGGCAGGATTTATTTAACCTAGCATACACATTTAACATCAAAATTTCCAGACAAAGTCCAAAATGTTCCAGAAAATTTATAAATTAATTAGAAATATGTGGGACCGGTGGGCATTGAAACCAAGGTGGACCGTCAAAGTTATTTTGTATTAACTAAGTAAAATAGGGAAGTATAGTCTGTAGTTTGTGCGACAAGTATATATTTATATAACGGTTAAAAACGCGTTATTTATTTATATATTGACTACTGTCTGACGAAGTAAACAAAATATTGTACTTCAGAAACAATTATAAGCGATATGTTAAACTGTTGAGTTTCAGAGGCGGTCTATTATACAGCGTGTGCTTTGTTCGTCAGTTGTGAAAACCATTCGATGCATGGGGTGGGGTGCATATATTTCTGTGTCCGTTGTGAAACACATCTATTGTTTCCCCAGGATTCGAAATTTGTTTGACCATTGAGATACAGAGGTGCTCCTATTACACATTAGCTATAAATATAAAAATAAATATTAGTATATTTTAAATGTAAGCATTTCGTAACTATAAAATAAGTGTAATGTTATTGGAAAAATTCCTACTTAGTTGTATAACGTAATCCGATCTTTTGCTGAGCAGACTCTAAGCAGTTTATGCCTTTCTAAGATTTTGGTCTAGTGTTGTGCTGAGTAGAATCGATATCGAGAATCGATTTTTGTCGATGATTCGTAAGTATCGTTTAAAAGTACCGATGACTTATATTGTTATAAGTTTTTACAAAATACGGTTCGTCATTTTAATACTATGATTATTACTAGTGAATTAAGGTAATTGTAAATCGTAAATATTTTTTAAAATATCAATATGATAACCATAGGTTATTATAAATTACGCAATCAAGCCGATTCCGTTTCCTACTTTAGGGTATGGGACGAACAAATATCTTTTTGTTTCTAACTGAAATATTTAAAGGTAAGCGGAGAGGGCTTATAGGGCAAATGTCTTATTTCTTCTTAAAAGGCAATGGTAGTCTTAATAATTCTTTTGAAGGTTGAAGTGAAACTATTATTTTTGAGTGGGTAGTTTTAGTAGTGAGCTGGACTTGCAAATCTTATATAAATGTAATCTTCCAGATCTACTATTTGTAAGTGCAAATAAATATAAAAAAAATGCAGTAATTTAGAAAAAAATGTTTTTCTTTATTTAGATTTTTACGTAAGGATAGGATCTCTTGTGCTTTAAGCAATGATCTAGGCGTGTAACCATTGAGCTACAAAGGAATTGGTAGACGCAGTAATTCAAAGTAGAGGTAATAAAAAAACATGTCGATAGCACTCAAGCAAATTAACAAAGCGGATTGAATATTGCGAAAACCGTAGCAAGAATTAGGGACGGACTTTTCATATAATCCTAATCCTATTAGTTCAATTCGTTATTGCTGAATATACAGGTACGTATTGGAAATCGTAATGTATAACTTATTAAGTAAAAACATATACATAACTAGCTGTGTCAGCGACTTCGTCCGTAGAATTGGTATTTTAACGTGGTTTATTATATAATTTAAATACTAAAGTATGTAGTAATCGTTTCACGTGTGTTTAAGGTATTTTTGAACGCGAAAAACAATATAATATATGAATAAATACAGATGCTTATCATAATTTTTTTAACTGTTTTTTTTGATGCCTCTGAAGTAAACACGAAGGTATAATAACGAAAAATATATTCATGACTACAAAAATAAAGATTTAATTAAAACAAATAAAAAATTTAAGATACCAATAACGAATTATAAAATAAATATATAAATAAAACTCAGGAGCACTTTGAACCTTGTTGACCTGATAAGATCTGACAAAATATGTAGTATTTAAATACAATACTTTAACGGTTTAAACCGCGATATATTAGTTAAACTTATTTGAAAATGATTTTTAACCTCTCGGTCTCGGCTGCTGCAAAGCATCCGAAACGTCGGGCCGAAGTTAAAAATTATTTTCAAATAAGTTTAATTATTTATTTATTTACTAATATAATGCGTTTTAAACCGTTGAAGTGTTTTATTTAAATGTGTACTACTCGCGTAAACTATACACAGTATTTAAAATACGTAGTATTTCATAAACTCATTTAATTAATTTTGTCTAACTCTGTTTCGAATTTTGGCAATTGGAATCTCATAGATCTTAGTAAAAAAAATTATCTTCTATCAATATATATTATATAAAAAAATATACTAAGATGATCTGTTGCTCAGAAAAATAGAGAGTTTCAACGAGTTAAAGGCAGATGGATGGATGGTTAAGATGCAGAAGAAAAAGTAATGGGCAAAAAGTGTCTTACTAACTTACTAACGTCATTAATTTAAAGAATCTTTTATAGATTGAAAAAAAAAATGTTTCGATACTGACAGAACTTGACCTCGCACCGTGTAAACACGTCATCGTCGATTTTTTTCAACCTATTGACAAATGCACCTCTCGCGCAATGTAATTTTAACCTTAACATTTGCGGTTAGGGTTATATATTTTATTAATAAGTGAAAAAAGATTTGAAGTGAAAGACGTTACTAATCTTTAGAAAAATTGGCGTAACCTAAAAATATACTAATATTGGAAGATAAATTAATAAACCAAACTTTTAACCCAGTGAGGATATTGGTTTTATCGCTGTAATGGCTTTCCGCGTATTTTAATATTATCCAATTTTATCGGCAACTCAAGCGAAATTAAAAAGATGATCGGATATGCTACACGCTTCGGTAGTTTTATGATATTTCTGTATCAGACATTGATCGTATTTTT